TGTAGACCCCTCCCCCTTCCCTCTATGCCGCCATACCTTGAGCGAAGCTAACAACATATAACAGTCGTCCAAGCCCTCGGTCGCGAAGGAGTTCTCCCTCTGTCGAAGATCTGGGCCAGCAACCGGCCGTTCAACTCGCCCGCCGCTGGCCTCTTCGAGCACTGGGTCGTCTCCGTGATCATCATGTTGGCCCCGCCTCCCGGCGATGCCTACAACTTCCTGGTCAACCTCATCTCGTACCCGCTGTCCATCGTCAACGTTTTCGTGTCCGGTGGCCTCGTCTACATCTACCTGACCAAGGAGAAGAACTTCCCGGACTGGGCCCCCGGTATCCGGGCCACTCTCCCCGTCACCATCTTCTTCTGCCTGTCCAACATGTACCTGGTGGTGGCACCCTACGTGCCCCCCAGTGCCGGACAGAGTGTCTACAACAGCCTGCCTTACTACCTGCACTGTGTGGTGGCGCTGGGCATCTTCGCCCTCGGCGCTATCTACTATCTGGTGTGGGCGGTGCTGATGCCTCGCTTTGGTCGCTACATCCTTGTCAAGGAGTCGGTGGTGGATGCTGATGGCTGGTCCAGAAGTGTCTTTACCAAGATGCCGATTGAGCAGGCCGAGGCGCTGAGGTATCAGGAGGCGGAGGAGCAGCAACAGGAGCAGCAGCAGCATCACTTCTGAGGGCTTCCTCAGTGAATGATGCGGCTGCATGACTATTGCTGCTTCGTTTCGATTATGACGCAACGATTCAACATCAATGCCAATACATGGCATAATTCATAATGTTTACTTATATCATTTTGCATGGGTGCGGAGTTTATGTGCTTTCTTTGCTGGAGGGAAAGGGAAAAGGGAATGATTGATTTATTAGGGAGGGAATGGGTTGAGTTTTCATAGACTTGTTGTCTTATGATGTCTTTTTCGAGATACCTCTTGTGTTTTATTACTAGATTCAAAGCTCCTTTCAACAATCGACGACATATTGCTGAATTATGATCTTAAAAGTATCAAAATTGTATTTGAATAAAAATTATACTTATTAAAAGAAAGTATGTCCCAGCCCTCTATGGAAGCCCATTCACCGGTGAAAAAAGCATCAAATTGATACTTTCTATTCATGAACCCCTCAAACTGGCTGGTGGACCGTCTGGCAAGTCACAACTCCCGAAGAAGCAGCTCGACAGCCAACTGCCAGATAGAGAAATATCTACCCGAATGGGCAAATCTGGCAACCGGCTGTATGGAGAAGACCTGCGTGTAAGAATGTATATGTATGGAGAAAGAAAAGAGAAAGGAAAAGGGAAGCAGAAATGGGTGAAAAGATGGACGTCATGTGATGCGGAGAAACCCTGTTCCGGATAGCCCTCATTGTAGGCCTGAATAGGAATGGTAAGGAACAAGGGAGAGCTGATTGCCTGATTGAGCATGGTTAGTTTACCAGGTAGAATCAGTTGGTCAGATGACTGGAAGATGTTAGTCATAAGAGAGATTACCGCCTACCGGATTCAGACGGACGACCGACGGAATTCCCGCGGCAAAAAAAAGGAACATTTCTTTCCCTTCGAAGATTGGATTGGATTTGTTGATGATTTGATGGTTTGCTGGGATTAATCTCTCTTTGTATCAATAGTAATCGTGTGATTGTGGTTGTCCTTTGATTTGTCTAATATTTTCTGTATTTCTTCTTATCCATTGGTTTATCTGGGTGGGACTGTGTGTGTGTCTCTCTTTGTCTATCTGTCTCTCTCTCTGTTAACAGATTCATCCCAATGCGTCGGTTTCCCTCCTCCGCACGGCTCCCGCTGAGCAACAGCAGTACCAGAAGGGCAACAGCAGCAGCAGCAGCTCCCCTCCGCTTCCACCGACTCTCTGCTCTTCCCCGCCCCTCCTCTTCTTCTACTTCTACTTTTAACTTCCCCACTGCTTCTTTATCTACTTCTACTCCCTCCTCTCTCATCTCCTCTTCTTCCTCTTCTTCTACTTCCTCCTCTACTGTCCCTCCTCTTCATCGCTCTTCTCTTCGTCGTGCTCCCCTCTCTCAAGCTTCCAAACGTTACTGTTCCTATCGCAGGATGTGTGGTGCTCGACGTGGAGAAGTGACCGGCTCGACCAACGTCCCCGGTGGTCGTGAGGTCTTGCCTACCAACGTCAAGCCCATCCACTATGACCTGACCCTCGAACCTAACTTTGCTAACTTCTCCTACGACGGTACCGTCGTCATTGAGTATGTTCATGTTCTACCTACCCACCCATGCTGATAACCTGGTTACCCCGCCATCTAGTGCACAAGCTAACACTCCCCGGAATTATAGCCTTGACGTCGCTGAAGATACCACCTCCATCTCCCTCAACTCCAACGAGATCAAGATTCACAATGCCGTCGTCTCTTCCCAAGGCGCCGTCGTGGCCTCCAACCCCGAAATCACCCTCAACCAGGACCAGCAGGTTGCGACCATCAAGTTCGCCGACACCATCCCCGCCGGTTCCTCCGCCCAGCTGAAGCTGACCTTCACTGGTGAGCTCAACGACAACATGGCCGGTTTCTACCGCTCCTCCTACAAGGCCGCCGATGGTCAGACCAAGTACATTGCTACCACCCAGATGGAGCCTACTGATGCCCGCCGCGCCTTCCCCTGCTTCGACGAGCCCGCCTTGAAGGCCAAGTTCACCGTGACCCTGGTGGCGGACAAGAGCATGACCTGTCTGAGCAACATGGACGTCGCAACTGAGACTGAGGTTGCGGGCGGCAAGAAGGCTGTCAAGTTCAACACCTCCCCAGTCATGTCGACTTACCTGCTCGCCTTCATTGTCGGTCACCTCAACTACATCGAGACCAAGGCTTTCCGCGTCCCCATCCGTGTCTATGCTACCCCGGATCAGGATATTGAGCACGGTCGCTTCTCGCTGGACCTGGCCGCCCGCACCCTGGCCTTCTATGAGAAGGCGTTCGATAATGAGTTCCCCCTGCCCAAGATGGACATGGTCGCTGTGCCCGACTTCAGCGCCGGTGCCATGGAGAACTGGGGTCTGATCACATACCGTGTCGTGGACGTGCTGTTGGATGAGAAGACCAGCGGTGCCGCCCGCAAGGAGCGTATTGCTGAGACTGTCCAGCACGAGCTGGCCCACCAGTGGTTCGGTAACTTGGTCACCATGGACTTCTGGGATGGTCTCTGGCTCAACGAGGGTTTCGCGACCTGGATGTCCTGGTACTCTTGCAACAGCTTCTTCCCCGAGTGGAAGGTCTGGCAGACCTATGTCATCGACACCCTGCAGGGCGCCCTTTCCCTGGATTCGCTGCGTAGCAGTCACCCCATTGAGGTGCCCGTGAAGCGTGCCGATGAGATCAACCAGATCTTCGATGCCATCTCCTACTCTAAGGGATCGTCCGTTCTGCGCATGATCTCCAAGTACATGGGTGAGGATGTCTTCATCCAGGGTGTGCGCGACTACATCAAGAAGCACGCCTACGGCAACACCCAGACGGGTGATCTGTGGGCCGCCCTGGCTAACGCTAGTGGAAAGCCTGTGGAGGAGGTCATGGACATCTGGACCAAGAAGGTCGGTTTCCCCGTGGTGACCGTCTCGGAGAACCCCAGCAACTCCACCATCAAGCTGAAGCAGAACCGGTTCCTGCGCACCGGTGATGTCCGCCCCGACGAGGACACCACGCTCTACCCCGTCATGCTTGGTCTGCGCACCAAGAATGGCATCGACGAGAGCACCATGCTTACCGAGCGCGAGGGCGAATTCAAGGTGCCCGACCTCGACTTCTACAAGCTCAACGCCGACCACTCCGCCATCTACCGCACCTCGTACACCCCGGAGCGTCTGTCCAAGCTGGGTGAGGCGGCCAAGAGTGGACTTTTGAGCGTCGAGGACCGTGCCGGTATGATTGCCGATGCCGGTGCCTTGGCCGCGTCCGGCTTCCAGAGCACCTCCGGCCTGCTCTCGCTTCTGAAGGGCTTCGACAGCGAGGCCGAGTTCATCGTGTGGAACGAGATCCTGACTCGTGTTGGCTCTCTGCGGGCTGCTTGGCTCTTCGAGGATGCTGCCACCCGGGACGCCTTGAAGGCCTTCCAGCGCTCTCTGGTCAGCCACAAGGCTCACGAGCTCGGATGGGAATTCTCGGAGAAGGACGGCCACATCCTGCAGCAGTTCAAGGCTCTCATGTTCGGCAGTGCCGGTATGGCTGAGGACCCCGTCGTTGTCAAGGCCGCCCAGGACATGTTCGAGCGGTTCGCTGCTGGCGACGAGAACGCCATCCACCCCAACATCCGTGGTAGCGTTTTCAGCATTGTGCTGAAGAACGGTGGTGAGAAGGAGTACAACGTCGTCCTCGACCGCTTCCGCCACGCCCCCACTTCCGATGAGAAGACGACGGCCCTCCGCTGCCTGGGTGCCGCCGAGGACCCCGCTCTGATCCAGCGCACTCTGGACCTTGCCAGCAGCGACGAGGTCAAGAACCAGGACATCTACATGCCCCTGGGTGGTCTCCGCAGCCACCCCGCGGGTATCGAGGCTCGCTGGACCTGGTTGAAGAACAACTGGGATGCCATCTACAAGCGTCTGCCTCCGTCCCTCGGTATGCTGGGCACGGTGGTGCAGCTCAGCACGGCCAGCTTCTGCACGGAGCAGCAGTTGAAGGATGTGCAGGACTTTTTCCAGAGCAAGGACACCAAGGTAGGCCTGTCCTTCGTTCAATTAATTGTTTCCTTCAAGTTGAACTCACTAACTCAATTCCTCGTATAGGGCTTCGACCGTGCGGTTGAGCAGAGTCTCGACTCGGTCCGCGCCAAGGTCAACTGGGTCCAGCGTGACCGGGCGGACGTGGCGTCGTGGCTCAAGGCCAACAGCTACAACGGTAAGCTGTAAATCAAAGTTGCATGACATATTTCGGAATTTATGGCGAATGCCGATTGACATGAGAATATAAATGAGACCCATCCGACTATGATCGGGGTGTATAATTAGAACAGAGAAAAAAAGATAGAAAATAAGAACTCGCATCTCCATCATTGGTTGTCTGGAAGTTTGTATGATTCGCTGGTAAGGTATGATACATACGCCGTGTCCATATCGGCACGGATGAAAATTATAAAAGCAATTCCTCCTCTTCATAAGGTAGTACGATAGAATCCTTTCTATACCATAACGATACCCCTTTGACCCACCATCCATCCATCTATCAAAGATAGACAGACAAATAGCTAGGCAGAAAGATAAAAGAGTAAATAACCTACCACCCTGACTTCCCACCACCACCACCACCCTCCTCATTATTCTTCTTCGACGAGAATCCCCTCGTCGGTTTCGACTGCGCAGCCTCATGTTTCCGCAATTCCTCCGGAACCCTCGAAATGGGCGACTTGATAAGCATCTGCTTAAGATCGTACCTAACACACCATTAGTATCCACGCCAAAGGCATATAAAACCAAATAAGAAGAGGGGGGAGGGTATGGGGAGACATACATAACATCGGCATCCTCATTACCCAAGAAGGTAATAGCAACACCACTCTTACCCGCACGACCCGTTCTACCAATACGATGGGTATAGCTCTCGATACTCGTAGCCATATTGAAGTTCACGACGAGACTAACATCCGGCACATCGATACCACGACCCGCCAGATCCGTCGCGACGAGGACATCCGTACTTCCATTTCGAACGGATGCCAGGGCGGCTTCACGCTGGTCTTGGGTTTTACTACCGTGTAATGTAACGGAGGAGAATCCCCACTGTTTGATTTCGCGCGCAATGGCATCGCAGTTCCGCTTGATGTTGACGAAGACGATGATCGGGGCGCGGAATTCGCCGGATGATAGGATGTCACCGAGACGTTTCTTGCGCTTGTCTTCGCCGGCGATCATTTCCACGCGCTGCTCCACGGTGTCGACGGCTTCGCCGGCGGAGCCGATGGTTACGATGGCGGGGCGGCGGAGGTATTTTCGGGCGATGCGTTCGACGGCCGTGGGCATGGTGGCCGTGTACATCATTGTTTGGCGGTAGCGGTGTTGGTCTTGATTGATGTGGCGGGACATGGCGAGGGGGTTTTCGGCGTCTTCGGAGTCGGGCTTTTCGTTGGAGACTGGGAGGGCGTCGAGGATTTTGTTGACGGGTTCTTCGAAGCCTAGGTCGATCATGCGGTCTGCTTCGTCCATGATTACGTAGCAGCATTGGCTGAGGACGAGCATGCGGCGTTCGATGCAGTCGACGAGACGGCCGGGGGTGGCGATGATGATTTCGGCGCCGTCGCGGAGACTGTAGGCTTGCTCTTCGAGGGAGTGACCTCCGACGATACTGACGACGTTGAAGCCGAGCGGGCCGGTGAATTTTTTGGCTTCAATTTCGATTTGTTGCGCCAGTTCGCGGGTCGGTGCGAGGACGATGGCGTAGGGGCCGTCGGCTTTGCGCCATTCGAATTCGTCGATGCGGGGGAGTTCGGCGATGTAGCAGAGGAGGGGGAGGAGGAAGGCGGCGGTTTTACCGGAACCGGTGACGGCGACACCGATTAGGTCGCGGTTTTGCATGGCGATGGGGATGGCGGCGCGTTGGATGGGCGTGGGTTCTTTGTAGCCGACGCGGGAGATGAGTTCCATGAGGCGTTTGGGGAGGTTGGATTCTTCCCAGGAGCGCATGGGGTTGGGGACGCTGCCGCCCTTGGTGCTGATGTTGAAGTCTTCCTTGAAGATACGCCAGTCGCGTTCGCGCATGTGTTCGAGTTTCTTCTCGCTCCAGTGCTTGTCGAGTTGGTTGCGCGTGCTTTCTTCTCGGCGGCGACGCTCCATCTCGAGGATCTCTCTGGCGCGGATGCTGCCTGCTTCGCGGTCACGGTCTTCCAGCGCGCGGGCGTATTTGTGGGCGACGGATTCTGCGACGTCGTCGCCGAAGCCGGCCAGGCGGCCACGGCCGAAGAAGTTGGTTTCGTGTCGGTGCTGGTATAGCGGGTTGTAATCGCCACTGGTGTCTTCTTCAGCGTTCCATTCGAAGTTGAATTTCCGGTCTGTTGTCCTCTTGCGCTTCTTCTTGGCGGAGAAATTGGACGTTTGGTCGGCACCCATGTATCTTTGCTTCACTAGGGCTGCTTGCGCCGCGGCCTCGTCCTCGTCCACGAACCGGCTGTCGCTCTTTCCGCTTGTCAGACCGAAGGACATGGATTTGGGAGGTGGTGGCGGCGCGAGGTCGTAGTTCTTGTTGTGGGACTGTGAATGGCGCATGGCTGCCGGGGCAGTCGGGGCAGTCGGGGCAGAGTCTGAATTGCGCATGGCTCGAGGGCCAGTGGGGATGGATCTGGCATCGCCGTTAGGGCCCTCGGAGCTGATTGAGGGCGAGTGTGTAGCACTTCTGTCGACGCCATTAGACGACTCGGATTTTAGTCTGCGGGTTGCTGCGACTTCTTGAGCCCGTTTTTCCAGCGCAAGCTTCTCACGTTCCTTCTTGGAGAGAAATTTCGGCTGTAGAAAGAGAAGTGGGATGTTAGCTGTCTGAGCTTGTACAAATTCACGGAGCTGTGTCGTACCTTTGCTGCTGCGGCATCAGCCTCTCGCTTCTTCCGTACGAGTTCCTCCACACTCAGCGGCGTTGGTGCCGGTCGTTTCGTGCCCCATCCGACCTTCTTCTTCTTGGGCTCAGTCTCCGGCGGCGGCGCAGGTGGAAGATCTTCCGGCGGTGGAGGAGGCGCGGACGTGTCTGGCGGCGGCGGAGGGAGGCCGGAATCCTCTGGAGGAGGTGGCGGGGGAGTAGGAGGGCGTTCGATGGGCTCCGGAGGAGGCATGGGAGGGTGCGCCTCCGACGAACCGTTGGTCATGATACTATCCATGGCGACTGCAGAGGATGAAGCATGAGATGAACTGCAGCTCGGCGCAGAACTACTTGGTTTGTCTCCCGCGGCCTGGCCACTTTCTACGGTGGGTAACAGCGGCCATGTGCGCAGTATTCGATCACGTGAACGCAGATAAGGATAAGGCTACTCTATATGTTTGAACACTACAGCACAGCATGTCTCTTCTATTGAGGTAACTGGAATCACATGCATGGAATGAAAGCTACCTACGCATTAGAATACACGGGGACAGTGTCCAAACTCATAAGGTCCACCCAACCGTATCCCATCATATCGGGAAGAGCAGTCGAGAACCGGCTCTGCACGTTGCAGATGCCGCCTCGCCTTTCGCTCAACACGCCATCGTTGAAAGCTGCACACACATCAGAAGAGAAATTATTGTTCTACATATCAGCAAGCCTTTCACAAGCTATGAGCGGGAAAGAGTACCATCCTCTTTGCGAGGAGTCAGATTAGGGTTGGGCGTTTCCGCGCCAACCGGATTCAGCAGGTTCTTTACTTCCCATCAGACTTACATGCCACCGTTGACCGGTGTCTGCTGATAGTAGGCGTAGGGGTTAGCTTGCGGGGGTGTTGGGACCACAACTTCCGCCACAGGCGTCGCCGACGGAACCGGCTGAGCTGGGGGCAGCTGCACCACTTCCGCGGCCTTCATCTTCGACACGGACGCCGGACCGTGTACTTCACGGTCCAGGGTCATATACTCCTTTGCAGCATCCTTGGTGCCACGTTCAAGGAGGTAGACCATGTAGATCTGAACCAGCTCCCGCACCACGTCGGCCGGGAGGGTACTCTTGGACCGAATGTCCTCGATGACCTGCTTGATGCGCTCATACTGGACATTCTCTGTGGACGCGCTCGTGGGCTGATCGAGCTCGAAGTTCAGGTAGCTGGTCCAGAAGGGTCGGCTGTCCATGTAGTACTGCTGGTTCTTCTGGAAGACCTGACGGGCGTCCTCGGGAGAGCCCTTGATCTTCCACAACAGGCGAGCCCATTCCGCAACCAGTGCCGCCTTCGTAGCCAAGTCTGACTGTGGCGAATCCAGCTGGCTCTTGTACACTTCGATGGCAGCCTCGAGTCCGCCGTGACGGCGAGACATGTTGGCCAGAGACACAATCGTTTCGACGTGGTTGGGCAGGTTGATGAGGATGGCGTCGTGGATCTCCTTGGCAACGTCCACACGACCGCTCATCTCCTCGAAGTAGGCATACTGAAGACGGGTGGCTGGGTTGGCGATCGGCACGTACAAGCAGCTGGCACGCTGGTAGATGTTGCGCACTTCTTCTTCCTTGCCAGGCTGGCCGGCCATCCACCTGGCGTAACGTTGCCAGAACTCATCGTAGTGAGCGCACGTCACCAAGCACCTCTCGTACAAGAACTGGGTGCGCACATAGGAGCCCTCGGACTCTTCGAAATCGAGGTACTTCTTCCAGTTGTTCAGCTGGCCCTCATCGAGTTCGGTGACGTGGAAGTACGGGCGCTTGATTTCCGACTCGTATGTCCAACGTTTCGTGGTCTCGGTTTGGGTCTTAGAGAAGATCTCCAAGTGATAGCTGTCTACGCGTAACCGCAGATCCCGCTCAACCTCTGCCTCAGCCTTCGCGCCAGGGGCGACATGTCCGGCAGCAGCATCAAGCTCCGCGCGGAACTGGGTCAAAGTCTCCGGAGACGCCAACTCCACCACAGGGCGGGTCTGAGCCAACTGCCTGTACCTCTCGAAATACCGAGCGTACTGATGCATGGGGATGTGAATCACCCGGCCTAGGATAGCAAATATCTTATCGAAAGCCTCCAGGCGCTCCTCGAACTCGATGTACTTGTCCCAGAAAGGGTGGGCCAGGAAGTCCAGTCCAACGCTGGCTGCGCCGCGCTCGAAGAGCCTGCACAAACGAACGTTAGTAACAAAACGGATACACCACCATCAGAACAGCGCTGGGGAGATGGGGGTATGGGAGGGGAAAGAAGGGGAGTGACAAGGATAGCAAACATGAGCATCAGATTCCCAATGAGTGCGAGCCCAAAAAATTGAACGACTAGGATGGTCAAACTGTGGATGAAACTTATGTTCCCCCGTCTGCTTCGAGCGCAGAATAGGTGCCACCCGAACACAAGTCCTGGTGTTTAGTGTCCGTGCAGGGGAGGTGCTTGGCTTGAAATCAACTGTAAATGTTTCTTCAAAGGGGGTAGAGAGAGAGCAAACAGCCTGGAGAAGCCATGGGTGAGAAGTAAACTCCAGTAGAGTCTGGGTAAGGTGAAATCTCACCCGTCAGCGAGGGGGACTGGTGCAAATGAACATTTGCATCACGCGGGTCCGGCATTCACAACCATGTCCGTGCTGCGTTTGTAACGGTTACGTGGGGGAAGGGAAAGGAAAGCAGCTCTACTATACTTACTCTCGAATCACATCAGCGTCATGGGAGGTCTCTGCCTTGAAGGAGCAGTAGTTGGTCCACAGGTCGACCGAGGGCGAGATGCTAGCGACACCGCGTTCATACACCTATGAAAGCATCAGCAATCCCGGTTGACTTCATCCAACCCTAAGTCAGGTATATGCATACCATGTCCGCAGCCTCGGTGCCGGTGATGGAAAACTCCAGGTCGGCATATTTCTTCCAGTAACCGAACAACAACGGGAACTTGGCCAAGAAGCGGTCGTAAACATTGCGCACGGTGGTGATGGCTTGGGGGTTGGAGTTGCGGTTGATTCCGCCCTCGAGTGCTTCGCCAGCGCGAACCAGTTTCTCCCAGGTTTCGAAGTTATCCGGGTCATCGAGCTGTACGACAACGAAGGTGTTAGCACATGTGATGTAGCATTCCCCGCCGACCGAGATGATAAATAGGATCGCATCATACCAACTCAGTCTCGAGCTTCTTCAACTCTGCGTTCTCCTCCTCGGAACCTCCATAGTTGTAGTCCGCCATGATGGCAGTTGATGTGGTCGGGGTCAAAAGAGTAGTGACAAGGATCGTCCGCGACAAGGGGTGAGAAAGGACGGGACGCTGTTAGGAAAGGAAACGGATCGGGAGCAATCCAGCGACCAAGATAAAATGAAGAGCGGAGATATAAGGCGACCAGATAGATAGGGAGAAAGGAAGCGCGCGAAAGAAGGAGGAGAGAGAAAGCGAGGAAGACGGAGAGAGGAGGAGGATCAAGCACCAGCCACAAGTTCTACTAGTTAGTTTAGCAGCAACAGTAGCAGCAGTAACCAGTTAGTTCACCCAGTTTACAGTAAAGTTACTTCGTTCTCTTTGCTCTTTTCTTTTTCGCCGAGTTCCCGAGCCTCACCCCAAAACGGCTTAGCGCCGTTCCTGCAATTCTCAACGCGGACAATCCAAAGAATCACCACCAGCTCGAGTTATCCGGAGAGAAAAGAAGCCCCCATCCATCCCATCTCCCCCTTCCTCACCAATTCACAGGAGAGGCAATCGGGAAACAACAGCCAAAAATGGCCACCACACAAACCAGCAGCTTGGTATCCAAGCTTCCCATCCGCCTCCGCAACTTCTTCGCGCGCTATCCTCCGCAAATCTATTCCGCAGCCGTAGCACCACGCCCCGAAGCCCCCGAAACTGGTGCCCCCGTCAACGTCAACGTCGAGGATCTTCCCTCTCCTTACACGCCCAACCGTGATGCCAAGGGCTTCAAGCGTCCCGATCCCAAGGCATTCTCTCCCTCCAAGGCCATCCTGCACTCCGACTCCAAGCACCCCAACCCGTTCCTGCCGCGCAAGAACTTCCGCACCGGCAAGTGGTTCGGACCCCGGATTGGACTGCGTCGACAGGCGGAGCTGGTGAAGTTGGCGATCAAGTACAACGTTGAGGCCTTGTTGCCGCCTGGCCGCAAGTCGACGGAGTTCAAGGAGACGAGACGTGCGGAGCGTGGTTTGGCTATCAAGGGTACTGGTATCGGACAGAAGGTCAAGGGTCACAAGTGGGAGAGGACGATGGAGGCTCGTCTGGAGGACAGACGCAAGGCTATGATGGAGATGCCGGAGATGATCCGTTTGTGGAAGCAGGTTAGTTTCCCATTCCCTTTCTCTAACCCCCTCATTTGCTAGGATGAAGAACGGTGCACTGACTCGGTATCACTTCACTTTACAGAGAGGTCACGGTCGTGGCTGGAAGTCGTGGCCCAAGCGGTAAATGCTTACGCTTCTGGATGTATTATCTTCGTTTTTTCGCCTCGGGTGGAATGGATCCGAGGCTTGCATAATGTCGCATCTGTCCTATTTTATACATCTCGCCGAGCCGGAACTATCTATTCGTCTATCCAGCTCGGGGAGAGTTTCGATTGAATCATTGTTGTCGGGGTTCGGCACGGGAGTTTGTCCTCTTATGTATTTATTGTACAAATAGCTTGTTTCTCAAAATCATGCACATTGAATGTCTGCGTGAATGGAAATGGTATCAATAGAATGTTGAATGCAAACAAACCATTCAAAGGAGGTTTCCACCTCGTTTACAATGTCACACATGCTATAACTAGTAATATTCCAATTTGATACATGCTCCAATGCAATGCAATGCTTATCCACAACCTAGGCAAATCATCATTCATCATTCATGACCCATAGTAAGAAGGAGTAACGACATCCCCCACCATAACTGTCCTTGACTTAGTGCTATTCTCATCGCCAGAGGAAATCGCTAAATGCCGCCCAAAGTAAATCTTATTCCCACTCTTCCTCGTTTTCGCCAATGTCGAATATGGTTCCTCACCACGCACACCAGTAAGCTGATCAATACAGACCATCTGGCACCGCTGACAAGATCCAAGCACGTTAAACTGAAGATTTTCGGGCCCAATGTGCAAACTCTCCCAGTGGTCTTCAATATACGGTCGTCCCGCACTCACCGGCTGTGGGAAATCCTCCGCAACGACGATGTTGGCACGGAATACATCGGCAGCTACAGCTTTCTTGCGCCCAGTACTGTTTGTAGTTGTGGGACTGCTTTTGATGGTTTCGTTAAGACGATTCACGGATGAGCGGGAGATGAGCAGGATTGGACTTTCGTTTGATAAAAGAATTGGATTTCGTTCTGCCTCAGGGGTTGGGGTATCTTGGGGGAATGCGCCTGGCATAGCTTGTCCAAATGGTGATCTCCTGCTGCCAGCACCACGTCTGGGTTCGGCAAGTCGAGTGGAGGATTGAGGTGGGAATCTCGCGAGCGTACAGGGTACACCAAGGAAGTCGGAGAAGAAGGCGGACACTGTGGGAGATGAATATGCTTGAACAATAACCTGGTCTCCGCAGACGGTAGAAGGTTTCGAGCTATTCTGGCATAAAGAGGTAGTTGTGAGGTTGCTACTTTCGCGATCCAAAGGGATCTCGAGCGTTTTCTGGCTTTGAGAATGTATAGATCCACAGGTGACACGCAATATACCTTGACCGAGATCGATAAATGGTCGTATAAGAGCCATGCGAGGATACCTCTTCTGGTTAAGAGCTGTACCTGTGCCTTGGTGGATCAAGCACCATTCGCGATCCCAGGCCAGACCTTCTCGCCGGATCCCCCAGCGCTTGCCGTCAGGTACTTTGAATGCACCGCAACTCTTGATGGGATACACGGACAGACTCTCGACATGGAAACCGGACCGGTGAGTAAGGTTGGCTTCCGGTGGTGGCAGCAACGCACACATAGTCGGGCTTTTCTCTACGTAAAATTCCTCGATGAAAGCCATGAAAGTGTCAATATCGGCCATGTTGCTCATCGCACCGAGGCTTGCTCTCAGAATCCCAGTAGGTCGTCCGTCCATGATATCATGGTCATCGCCACAACGCATGCCTGCTCCAAAATGTCGAAGCATGTCTGCTCCGGTCCAGTTAAGGCTGGCCGCTGTGCCTCCCGGATTGCATAGCGTTCCAGATCTGATTTGTATGTTCCTGACGCTGGCCAGTTTCTCCACTTCGGATTTACCAATCCAGGCACCTTGACTGCTTCGCAGATTGAATGCCAAGATTGGACCCTGCGAAGAAGGATCGGTATAGTCAGTGTGTGATGGCTTGTACACGTGGCAAGCTCTCTCCCCGTTATGATGTCTTAAGGAAATCATGCGATCATATAAGCGCTTCGCTAGGAAGCGGGTGTGCGAAGAAATATTATCCATAGACCCAAAAAGGCGCTCGTGCGTATCAAATGCAGAGCCCAATGCGATTATATTATGGAACGGAAGCGTCCCGTCTTCCAGTCGTTCATGAATCGAAGATTGCTTCTTCGCATGCCAGTTTGTCCCCTGTGTTAAAATCATATCAACAGTTCCCCCACCGAAGAATTTCCGCTTGTCAAAGATGTGACCAGCACTCTTGCGAACAATCAACGCACCGAGGTCCGGAAAACCGAAGATCTTGTAAAAGCTGAGAACGGTAAAGTCAGGTGCAGCGGAAGCATCACTTAGATCGAGGGGGGATGTTGACACAAGCGATGCGACATCAAGAAGCGTGTAAATGTCCTTTGATGACTCCCGTATCCTCCCGCACCATTCACGAGGAAAGCGCCGGCCGTTCATATTTGACTGAGCAGGGTATGCAAACAGGCGAGGACCTTGCACCGTTTCTGAACTTAGTTGAGTAATCCAGCTCTCAACCTCTGCGTCCGTCACGAAGCACCTGCTCCCATTGCCTGCAAGCTCTCGCGCCCCGACCAAGCTCGTATGCGATTCCACATGGTATCCATACCAGAACCCTTGCGGCGTTGAGTCACGGAGAGAATCGACAACCAATTTGATTGCGGCCGTAGCGTTCGCCACAAATACGAGATCAAACTCCTCCGGATCAGCATTGAAGAAACGAAGGGCCCGTAGACGGATATCATCCACGCGTTGAGTCGATAGCTGTGAAGGTGCGGACATGGAATGGGGATTCCCGTAGAGGTTCGACGTAAGGTCTCGGGAGAACGATTCAATCAAGGACTTCGCGTAAAGCGTGGTACCTGCATGATCAAGATATGTCGTGTCTAGTGTCGAGATTAGATAAATAAGCTTCCATTCATCTATTGTTCAAAACGCATAGAAGCAACCCAGCACGCGACCTACCTTTGAGCAAGGGATATTCACGTTCCCGAATGACGTCCACATCATCCGGGTATTGGCATTTGCCCCTGTCTGTCATCTTGGTGAACCGTTCCAGACGACATTAATTGCAAGTTAATGGTAGATTATGGTTGTGGTGTGGTGAAGGTCGAGTGTCGCATTGCTGGCAGGGGTCGAGAGTGAGGTGGCGACCGCTGATTCACTGCATATAGAATGCTCCCTGAACCACAGATGGATATGTAAAGCCCGCTAAACACAAGAGCATCCAATAAGGCTCTTGACCTAAGTATAAATAGGGTTGTCAATCACTGTGCAAGTAGGCTAAATTATATACCGTGTAGCGGTGGAGGTATGAATAGAAATAAAGAGTCGAAGTACTAACTTAGTCTCTTTGCCGATAAGGCTAATCGATCGGAGCTTACCGATGACGAACTTGCCGACGGCTAGCCGCGGACCATCTCCAACGCTGAAACTTGTCTCTGCTGGCAACTAAAGAGAGCAGAATATGATTGAATTGAAGAGTAGCATTCGGGTCAAGGATACGTGGCATACATAAATCTTCTGGAAAGAACAGCTACCTGCAAAAAAGCCTGAGCGTGTTCAGCCCGACCAGCACGTCGAAACTTCCCCACTTTTGCGCTGCTTATCGAGAGCGGGGAGCGGCCGGGTCCGAAGATCAGTGGGATTCACTTTCTGCAGTAATGACCCTGCTCAAAAGTGGTGGTGGGAGGGATCCATTACAAACTTATATGTAAAGAATATCAACCTGTTATTATACTAGGCTATCTCCTCATACTAAGATAACTTACAATATCACAACTTCACTTTAATGGCCAGAGGATCATGTAGGGGTCTACTTAACGAGCAAGTAGTTCTTGCGTAAACATAGCTCACATATCTTATGGGGATTGCCACAAAAATGAGAAAGCTAAGACAATAACATTGTCAAAAAGCATCAAATGCCGTACAAAATGGACAAGGAACTTTGTCAAATAGAAACATTATCATCATATATGGAGCAGTAACAATCACAGATCATCAATGGTTGATTGCTAAGACTCATGCTGTCGGTATGCCTTCCCTCGTTACTTCGTTTATTTCAATTTTTTTCTGTCGTTCGTTTCGCGTTATCCATTCCAATCATTAATCCGTATCATCCCATCATATCTGTTGCTTGATATGCAAATAGTTTTATACCACATACTGCTGCCGCCGACCCGAGCTGCTGTGGCGCCGGTGACCACGTCGGCTGCTGTGACTCCTGCGACGGACAGTGGTCTCCTTGACAACAACTTCCGGACGCTTGTAGATGGCGAGAGCAAGAATAGCCGTCCAGAAGAAGAAGACAACTTCAATGATCCCCAGTGCAAAGCTGGCCTTCAGCATCGCGCAAGTCTTGTCAATGTGGAGGGACAGCGGGTTATCGGTCCTGTAGCCGTAGTATCCGAAGGGGCCCAGCGAAATGTAAACCGAGCCACCATCCCAATGAGAGCAACTGGCCCCTGCAATAAAACGCAGCTCGTAGACACCCGCAATGAAAGCACCGAAGAAGAGGAGATCGACGAAAGCAACAAACATAGCGGAGCGCTTGGTGGTCGAAAAGCGGATCAGGGTATCGAGGCACCAGAAAGCTGCAATAACGCTGACGATGAAGAGAACGAGAATGTAGGCAGGGGTAATTTGGTTCGCATTGAGGTAGCCATTGACGAAGTATGCCTAGATCAGTGCTGTTAGACATGACCGTCCGGGGGTTGGGTTAGGGTTGGAATGCACATACCATCATTCCGATGATCGGAATCAGGAAGACAAGCTCCAGAATGCGGTTGCAGATGAAGAATATACTGCCAATCATTTTGTCGGATATGCGCAGATTGCGAATTGACCTTCTTGCAGTGTAATTGAAATACTAGGATCAGATGCTCAGAAGCGTGAATAAGAGTAGGAGTCTGGGCTGAACGTGGCGGCCACTACAACGTTATCACACGCGGCACGTTAACCGACAAGACGATGTTTGCACGACACACAATCTGGCTGTGTTCGGTGTACTGAGTGAAGCACCGTGTCAAGAGGGATTATGTGGTTGCGCCGGACAACGTATAGAGGAGAACTGGTTAGGTGCCGATCAGATGCAGCCCAACTCAAAGGCACGAGCCCAGCCGTTACGTGCTAGAGAAAGCAAGGTACAAGTGATGCATCCAGCCCAAGGCAGTATGGAGATGAGATGCAGAAGAGAAAAGAAAGAGGAACCGGACGGGGATGAATATGCGAGTCGGAGAAAGACAGAGGAGGCTGGGCGATTCAGGCGGCGGGGTGGCTGGGATCCCAGCGTGAAAACAAGGTTCTATTGCCCGACCTTGAAACAGCGAGATTCAATAGGTGTTTCAACGGTTAATTTACGAGTCGGATCGAGTCATCAGGCTCAACAATTCTACGCCAATCGGTACAAATGGTATACAATTCTTTTTCTCAACATACAATCGTTGGTGATTATTGTTCGGTGTTTACCGCCATCCTTGCCTTTGGGAGGGCCGTTGCCATAGCTGAGCCGTGGGTGGGGCTGCCCGGCCCACGAGGTGCTCGAGCCACGGTTGAGCACTGGTCTAGCCCTCAGGAACGCTTTCTGCCTCTTGTGTGGCAGCGTCCCGGATCGACCAAGAAAGTAACCAGGACTATTTATATCTGATGCAAGGAGAGTGAGATGGAGAGCTGTGCGGTCTCTCCTCCTCCACACTGTAGTAATATGGTCAACTTTCGCCCTCTTGGTACCATACCAGATCCACTTTCCACATCTCTAAGTGCGACCAAGTATGTCTATGAAATGGCAAAAAATACACCCATAATCAATCAACAAAAGCTGAGGTTTTATACTTCCCGATACGGCATATCTGTTAGATCCCGCCCCCTGTCCGCATGAGTCGGGAGCGCGCCCGAGGTTTCGTGGGTACTGGTGGTTCCAAGTACAACCTGAGGGGTCTGGGAGTGGTACGCCGTATCAACATCGAGTCGCGCCGTTGGTCCGTTCAACGCTGGGTTTTGCGTCCGGGCATAGCCAGGTTGCATCTCATATCCACCAGCAACATCCTCACTGGAGGATGACCAGTTGTCGTCTTCATCACGTCTTGAGTAGCCGTACATGTTCGTGGTGTACGGATTAGATTCCGGTAGGTACAAGGGCCTACCGGCATCACTTCCGGTCGTCTTCGACTGAGGAGGTTCGTTCAATCGCTCCTCCTCCGGGTTCCTTAGAGCGGCAGTGCTTCCATCAGCAGCCACCAGGCGGACAGTCTCGGCAGGCCCCACGGGATCCCTGCCCCACGTCCGGATGGGATAGGCGCGTCCTTTCTTCCAGGGCTCGTTGAGGGAAGGGAAATATTGACGGTACGAGATGCAGGCACAGACAATACCTAGGAGCGATCCGGTGATGACGTCGAATGGATGATGCCTTGCATCCATAATACGGCTCACCGCAACAAGCGTTGCTGCAAGAGACGGTATCATGACCAAGAGTGTCTTCCAGGCCTCGCCGCGGTTGTCCATTATGTGCAGCTTGCCACTAAGCCACAACGTGAGATAGAATAATCCGGCAAACGACGCTGTAATCATTATATTAGTTCTCAATGCGCGTTTGTGACAACTCAGGTGGATCTCTCACAGCTACTATGTCCTATAACGACGAATTAGCATATGAAAGGAAGTTAGTCTTTTCGAAGTGCTGTCCAACCTGAAGGCCATGACCGGAAGCCGTCTTTGATAAGCGCATGTTCACCGGTACAGACAGTGGAATTCGACAGTCCGGGTATCGCGTCCTGACTACCCGCTCGGGGCTGGCACCGATCAATGAAGTCAGGCCTAGGCTTTCCACAAGCATTTTTCAACACCTGCGTGATGACAAAGGCCAGCCCTTGTGAGAGCAAGAGCCCCAGAATACCGCAGTTGAGCTCCCATAGCCGATCTTTCCATCTATATGGACCGGTGAATTTGCGCTTCCCCGAGACTGGATGCTGCGTCTTGTGATGCGAGAAAAGCCCGTCGATGAAGAGGGTATAGACGATAATGATGACGAGGGGTGCCAGGCCGGAGATACAGAGGGCTTCCTGAATTGTAATCCGCTCATGGACTGCATATGGGTACTGAATCGAGATATTTCGTAACGAGAAGTGCTGGTGATATGGTTCAATGGAATCAAGGACGTAGAAGCCGCCAATGCACGCACTATTGCAGCTATTATTAGCAAATGCCGCCGATGATCCGCCAACAGGTAGAACTAACATTAGAATAACATAGTCAAAGATATATCTGACATGAGCGACACTCGTTAGCAATGAGTAGCGTTTCCTCCCCTTAGAATTGAATCCTCACGATAAGATGACTCGCTGCTTCAGGCGCCGCTTAGAGAAAGGCAGCTTTTCGGGTAGACGGTCCATCGGATCAGGATCCACTTGGTTTAAGACACAATGCAATAAGTGAGGGGCTCAATTCTCCTTGTTCACAGCTCAGATATATAAAAACCTAGCCAATGTTCAAAGCATTTATTTTCCTTGAAAAAGAGCAGCCTAATGCGACCGGTGTGCGCGTGAGATTGGAAGCACGTGAGGAAATCTGTCGACAGCTGAAGTGTCAACTGAGATCTGCCCAGCGGCGAAAAGCCAGCAATAAAATAATTCGGAGAAGGCTGAGTCCCTGATTTGTGACCTGCCAATGAGATTGAGACGGAGACAAAGCATGGGGCTGTGGGCGACTAGATATGGGGGAAGTCTGAATACTCGTTGCCTGCAGCTCTTTCGCCGACCCACTCGCCCAGAGTACATCGGCTCGACCACGGCTCGGTCAACCGCTGGCTGCCTCGTCTCCATGGAAGACCCCGGTATGGGCCATTTACCCTTGTCGGTCGTATAGGCTAGCCTGAAGGGAAGAATGGATAGCGGTAGATACCATCATAGATGCAAGATGTCATTGACCACCGAGTAGCTCGGCCGGGAATGCAATTAGGCACGGAGTGTCATTGACAGATGATGGACCGTGTTAAGTGAACAGACCCTGCTTGATCGACAGTCGGGCGGTTAACTTTGGCTCGGTATGGCCGCTGTTATAATACAACAATATCAGGGGTGGATCCCTTGGACAGCCTGTAACGCTCTTCCTGTCATTTTCACATTGTATGCTTATGTAATGCATGGATGTCGATCCTTTCGCCAATGAGTCAAATTGAATGGCAGTTCCAACTTTTAGTCCTTGCGGGTTATAGCACGCCAGAATGGGGAATTTGGGTGGTCTTCGCTGGGAACCTATTTACATTAGCCCTGTTAGGTTAGTATTACAGTGGTTCAACTGATACTATCTATTCGGCTTAACTGCCTGAGCCTGTCATGATGACTGCTATATATAAAACTACACCACACCATCATCTGTACACCAATATTTCAACTTGATCAACTATCAATTACAAGTTAGTATGAGTTCTCTACCACTACAATTCAGCTATATGGCACTATAAGTATTATTTCTTTTCTATACAATGACTATTGAGTGGGGAGCTTTGGAGATTGTTACACCACACTACAAATGACAAGAATTACCCTCACTGCGGCGTCTACCACCCGAACTCCACAAAATACCCTTCATCCTCCACAACCATCCCAGACAGTTCTTCTGGAGACCCCTCTGTTGCCGTGCGGGCAATCGGCTGTGCCCCCTCCCTGGCAAACTTGGCACGGCAGTTTCCCCCAAAGTCCGTTCGACAGTGACCCGGGCAAATTACGATTGAGAGAATATTCTCCTTCTGCAGGCGCACCGCATCCACCGCACTGATCATGTTAAGGGCGGTTTTACTGCTTCAGTAGGCTGGCAGCTCCCAGATCTTAGCATTATACTCCGAGGTAGGCGAGTAGGCTATTCCAATCTGCCCGAGGCCGCTGGTCACGTCGCCGATGCGCCGATCAGAATACTTGGAAGCACGGAGAAGAGGAAGAAAGGCATCTATTACAACAACCACCCCGAAGACGTTGGTCTCGAATACTGCGCGGTAAGTATCACGCAGCGTGGCGTTGGGATCAGATGATCGATTGATGCCGCCGTTATAGACAAGAATGTCGAGTGAACCGAACTGTTCCCGGATATAGATAGCGGCAGCCTTTGGATACGTCGCTGTCAAGGTCTAGTGCCACTGGTGTCAGCCCATCGGAGGAACTGCTTAAGTTTATTAATACTACTTAGATTCCTCGGCTTTCTCTTGCGTCCGGGAGCCAATGAGAAGACGGTATTTGCCGGTGCTGGCAAGCTGTTTGGCCGTCACTGGCATACCCTAAGCCCCCGTTGGTACCGGTAATCAAGATCAATGGCTTCATGAGAGTTATGGCGAAGAGTGTGTAATGAAGGATGTACAACGAAATTTGCGGACTCAGGTGATCTGAAGACGAGTTACTAGAATAGGAGCAAGCCATCAATTGACTGCAATCATATCTACCCGAAGGCCTGGATTTAATCGGAGTTAAGATGATGTACTCAACACCTGGACTAAACCGGACTTTATTATGACTGACATCAGAGATACTTCTTCGCAGGTCATCATGAAGAACAAGTTATCAAAGCGATATAAAGAACGACACTTCATCTGGGCTTCTAACTCCTAATGCCGAGTTAGCAAACTGGTTCATTACCTTCCCTCTCTTCCATACAGTCAGCAATACACCAATTTCCAGCCACCAAAGTATAGTGCTGCTAACCCTTGGTCTATGGACAGCCTTTTGTTCTTCGTGGAGCAACACCCTAAGCTGGTACTGCCTACACAGTGTCACAATGTAAATAGTAAACATGCAAGCTCAATTGCCCACTAGCATCGTTCCATCGGTTTTGGAATATCGCCTGCTGCTGATGGATGGAAGGATTGAGAACATTCATCCTCACCCATAGATGTGACATACTTCTTGTCTAGCTCGAGTCCAAGCCTGCATAATTGACTGGAACGGAACAATCTTGATGTTAAGCTCCATTGGGTTCACGTCTTCGTCACGGTGTGTCCTATGATGCTGAAATATATAATGCCGCACGGAGGTGATTCTCATAAGTACCGAAGATATGGGAAAAGCCTCACAAGATTGACATCGTCTGTTCATTGCTGGTCGGCTAACGGATATTCTCAGTAGTCTCCGTCGACGGCAGAGTGTCTATCAGTACTGCTAGCCATTATTAACCGCAGATCATTGTCTTTATGAAAGGGGACATCCTGACCCCTTGTGCGTGTACTATCAGCATCAGCCTTGACGTATCTCATACCCGATTGAAGGTGGTGGGTGTAATTGTTTGTCCAATTGTTTGTCTCGCTGCAAGTGCTCTCAAGATTCAGCAGACATGTTGATAGTATGGGCATACGAAAGTATATATATCAGACCATGGAATGAACCACCTCTGGGTGTTGTTCAGATTGTGGTGAGCTCCGTTCATGGTAGCAGATCCAATCGTTGTTTGTGCCGACCTACTCCGTAGCGCTGCGTACTAAATGTTAGAATCCCGGTGGGGTTTACGTGTACTTCGCCCTATTGTTGGGCGCCAACTCATACATGAAGCACTAGGAACAACTCGGAAAAACGGAAAATTGCTAGTCTCTCAGCCCTTAGATTTAGAGCTGAGAAAAAGCAAATATTCTTTGTTGGCTTAAAGATGCTTGCTCATCCCCCGACCGGCGCTTTTCGATCGAGTTAACACGCATAGAACCCCGCCCACCATGGGTTATCCTAAGCTACGGAATCCCTTTCGAAAGAGGCGCTCCAAACAACAGCCTCGGGAAGAAACCACGAATCTACCAAATATTCCATCAAAAATACCGTCTAATGCTCTTTCTGGTACCTCTTCGACCCTAGAGCAAGCAGCTCAACCGAAACCTAAATCAGATGCCTTGCCCGCAGAGGATAAACAGGTTCAATCTAGCTCGGATACCATCCTGCCTCACCTCAACAGGAAGGCCGAGAAGCGGAATCTCTGGCGAGAGGCATACAACACGTTGGATGAGAAGCAGCGCCAGAATATAAATCCGGTAAAGGAACATGAACAGAGCGGCAACAATCACGACATCGACTCAGACTCTGTACGTAAAACCTTAGATGATGTGATTCAAACCGTCAAAGCACAATACGAAATTAGAATGTCGAAAAGAGGAGACTCACGACTTCGGGATGCTGCAAACAAAATCTTGACAGCCACATTGAGCTGCAAGGATATTATCAGTGCAATCGTGGCATTCGACCCCACTGCCCACGCGTCAAGTGCCTGGACAGTCGTCTCCCTGGGATTGACGGTATGTTTGACATCATTGTCTAATCACAGTTCACTTGCCTAACATAGTGTTGTTAGATGACACAGAATTATCGTGATCAACAAATGACTTGGTTTCAGTCATCTGCCATCTTGACTGACATCCTAGCTCGGTATGCCGTTATAGAGAAGCTTTACCGCGACGAGAGCTCCGAGGTGAATGACAGAATTGAGGATGCCATCTTGAGGGTCTATATCGCTGTTCTGAAATATACGGCAGAGGCAATGACCATCTATCGCTCAACTACAGGAAAGAGGTTGATGCGTAGTGTGGTGGCCCTGGCAAAACTGCCCCTGACAGAGATTCAGTCCTCGATCGACACAGAGGAAACGCACCTGGGAAAGTGGTTGCAAATGTATCAAGAAATGCAACGCAAACAGGATGCCAATAATATACTTCTTGGAGTTGATCGGCTTCTCGACTATATCCGAGATATTGCACAGAAAATCGAACTCAACAAGCTGCCAATAGCTGAAGGGGCTCATTTCGATTCCCACATGGATGAGGACCAGGCTGAATGTCTGGAGAATACAAGAGTTGAGCTTCTTGATGATATCACGAACTGGGTAGATGATTCCGAGGGAAAGACCATTTTTTGGTTGAGTGGTGTAGCTGGAACTGGAAAATCAACAATTTCCCGGACAGTAGCGCGAAAGCTGCAGGAGAGAGAGCTGCTAGGAGCAAGCTTCTTTTTCAAGAGAGGTGAGGGTGATCGTGGGAAAGCTTCGCGATTTGTCACCACTATCGTTAAGCAATTCATGATTGCTCTTCCTCAGATGAGAAAAGAGATTGCGACAGCCATGGAGAACGACTTGATGATAGTTTCCAAGTCACTGAAAGATCAATTTGACTATCTGTTATTGAAGCCGCTTCTGAGCGTGGAATTTAGCAATGGGCAGCGCTTACCGCTTGTCGTTGTAATCGATGCCCTGGATGAGTGTGAGGAGCGAAGCATTGAGACGATCATTCGACTTCTTCCTCGGGTACAAGAATCGAAAACGATACAATTAAAGGTCTTCATCACCAGCCGACCCGAGCACCCAATTTTTGAGGGCTTTGAGCAGATAGAAGGCGAACACAAAGATGTCGTTCTCCATGAAATTGAACGTCGTACAATCAAGCACGATATGGCTCTATTCTTTGAGGACCGATTATCGAAAATCCGAAAGAACAAGAATCTTGAAGAAATATGGCCTGGAGAAACCAGGACACAAGCTCTGATCGACATGGCAATACCGCTATTCATCTTCGCTGAAACTGTCTGCCGCTTATTAGGGGACTACCGCTGGGATCCAGACGACAGCTTGAATGACATATTGAAACGTCAATACAACAACTCTAATCTGGATAGAACTTACTTGCCTGTTTTAAACAAACTCCTCGAAGGACAGGATCGACGAGCTCAGAATGAATTGGTCAAGCAATTCCGCCAGGTTGTTGGGACAATCGTTGCTCTCGAAAGCCCACTTTCCATTGCTTCGCTTTCAAAGCTGATCAATATGAAAGAGAGCCTGATTCGCATCAGACTAGACTCACTTCATTCAGTCCTGAACATTCCAAAGGACAACAACAAACCAGTCAGAATGTTCCATCTTTCTTTCCGTGAATTCCTCCTTCATCCAGAGACAAAAGAGAAAACAAAATTTTCAGTGGACGGGCACTCAACGCATCGCGATTTGGCTCATAAGTGCATTGCAGTCATGATGGATCCCCAACATGGACTTGGACAGGACATCTGTGACCTGCGCAAACATGGAACCTCTAGAGATGATATTACCACGGAGCAAATTGAAGGGTGTTTCCCAGCAGAACTTCGCTACTCTACCCGATATTGGGTTCATCATCTTCACCAGGGAGCTTTGACTCTTTCTGATCACGACGAAGTACATGGATTTCTCAAAAAGCACTTTCTTCACTGGCTGGAAGCAATGAGTATCCTAGGGAATCTGCCAGAAACAATAGGCAGTGTCAACATGTTACTCTCGATTGTACAGGTACGCGTCATTCTCTCTAATAGCGAGCCGAGTTTACTGGATGTTCACAATATACAGACGTCACGTTCAGATCAAATGTCAAAATTTCTTTACGATGCAAAGCGATTTACTCTCAAGAATATCCAGATTGCCAAAGATTTTCCGCTGCAGCTGTATTCCTCCGCATTGCTGTTCGCGCCAGAAAAATGTACGATCAGAAACACGTTTTCCCACTGTGTCCCACCATATTTCTCTCGACTACCCAGAGTTCCTGAGTACTGGGGTGCTGAATTACAGATACTCGAGGTTGGAGCTGCGACTGTGAATTACTTGGAATTTTCTCCTGATGGACAGATGCTCCTCACACATGACCATAGTTTAAAGCTGTGGGAAACCCGCACTGGTGACTTGCGGAATACGCTTGAGGGCTTTGCTAGTTACAGGAGAGGAGATGGCGCATTTTCACCAGATGGAACGTTAGTGGCTTGGGCGAACCGAAACAGCAGCACCATACTATTGTGGGACTCTCATTCTGGTACTTTGAGACATATCTTGGAAGGAGAATATGATACCAATGCGATAGCATTCTTATCGAATGAGAAGTTGGTCTCGGCATCCTTTGACGGAATATTGACAACATGGAGCACTATATCCGGAGAGCTACAGCAAATTGTATGTTTGAAGTATGAAGAAGTTGAAAAAGGACCTTGGCTTCTTTGTCATGTGGCCGAACTCACGCGCGACGGTGGTATACTGGCCCGCACCCTAAAGAATGGCACAATAGAGCTCTGGGATACAGTCAAGGCCGAACTACGACATACACTCAAGAGTCATGGCGAAATTATTTACTCACTAGCACTCTCACCAGATGGAAAACTCCTAGCCTCAGGGTCAGAGAATGGCATATTGGAGTTTTGGGATGCGTGTAAAGGAACTGTGCATCATACTCTGCGCTGCCATGGCATTGATTGCTGTATTAATTCTGTGGCATTCTCTCATGATGGGAGATCGCTGGCTTTAGGTTGTGAGCAAGGGCTGACCATCTGGGACATATGCCATAGCCCAATATTATCCACCTTTACTAGCCGCAAAAAGAGTATTGAACTAGTCAGATTCTCACCAGACAACAAGATTGTGGCTTCCGCAACTGATTATCAGGTGACACTCTGGGATACCACTCGCTGTGACATTCAGCATGCCCCACAAGGGCATACAAAGCCAGTAACTACAGTACAACCTTCGCCTACTGGAGCGTTTCTGGCTAGTAGCTCCGAGGATAATACAGTGAGGCTCTGGGACGTTTCCACGGGCACAGTGAAATGCGTACCACAATGTTACTCAGATGCATATTTGACGGTCTCCATCTCCCCAAAGGGCCACCTGTTGGCTGTGTCAATGGGCTCACTCATTAAGATATGGGACGTATCAACTGGGGCCTTGCAGCATAACCTATCGTCAAACGAGTCTGGTAATATAAAACGCATGTTGTTCTCACCGGATGAAAGCTTGCTTTTGGCTCTTTGGGATGACAAAATGTGCTTATGGGATGCGGTTACGGGCACATGCAAGTGGGCCGTGGAGCCGAAGAGACAGGGCTCGTCCATTTCTGATGTGTCAAATTCCCCGAACAGTTTAGCATCCTTCATACATGTTGATACAGTAGCTTTCTCACCATCTGGAAATCTGCTGGCCTCCAGCCACATATTTGAAAAAACGGTGAGGCTGTGGAACAGTGGGAAAGGCATGGAGGAACATGTCTTTTCCGACTGCTCTACAGATCAATTACAATTTTCACCTGATGGCAAGCTGTTGGCGACGGGATCTGTTAGCACCGGAGTTAAAGTGTGGAATGAATCTGACGGCGACTTGCGGCAGACCTTGGAGGAAGAGGACGGGCCATCGTGGTTTAAGGAAGCCAGGAAGAGCGACGACGGATATTCGTGGCTTTTCGACACCAACATGCAAGAATACAGGATTCATCCAAAGGCCCCAATCAACATCATATCGCTGACTTATGATTGGATAGGCATCGGAAAAGATAGGCTCTTATGGATTCCACCTGAATATCGCGGATTATATCGGGACGCACAAAAAGTTATTGGAAATAGGGTTATTTTAGGATGTGACACAGGTGATGTAATTTTTATAGGTCTTCGTTTGCCCTCAGAATGTTAGGAAGATTTCAGTGTAACTACATCACTTTACATCCATTCATGCCTGTGGTTTTGTGGTTTGCTTCCTTTAACATTTGCCAATTGAGAAGATTTTCGCTCTCTATATATGTATAGGAATCGTCACTTCAATTGAATTCAAGCAGTTATCTCTCTCGCATCATTATTCACATATTACACTTATAAGACATGTTCATTTTCGCGGATAGTTTCAATATCTATATTGAGTAGCCCCCATTACCCTAGTCACATGTATAGCCTGCACCAATTGATCTGCTCATAGGGTAATAGACTTCTTTCAAGATCTGAGAAACCGAGAGTCACAGTGCCAGTATCATAAGGCAGCCTCAAGACACCTTCTGAATATATCAAGATTATGTTTGAGCATTTGTTAGCTGTTTCAGAATGAAAAGGTCCCCCGGAACGCATTAGAAGAATTATACAACCGTACCAAGCACGATATCTGAGGATAAGATGAGCAGGTCAAGTTGCCAAATGCTCTTTTTCCCATTTGTAATATTTTAGCATAGACGGCGGCTAACGATATGACAACCCATCAACAAGGCTATCTCCTCCCTCATCCAGGCGTCTATTGGCCACAACAAAGCAAGGGTTACAATCCATCCAAAAAGGCGGCGCAGCATCATGCAGCTACAGCGGGCTATGCTTCTCGCACCCCGCACTTGAGAACAGAGATCTAGACAATATATGAGCTTCCATATTCCACATATCCAAGTATTCAGCAATCCCATCAACCCACAGAGAATGCTCCTACCACCATGGCCACCACACTCTGGGACCCAGACCGCATCCTCCAAATCACCAAAGGCCCTTACGATCAAGGAATGTTCTGTCTTGGTCGCGCACGCTCCAGATACGATAGTCGCTGTCGCTGGGACATCCCCTATTCAGACTACCAGATTATCCGGAAATCGTTAAGCCAGCTGGCTAGGAAACTGCCACACGAGATATCAGACGACGAGCTGAAAGAAATAGCTGAGCGGGGATTATGCGATTATCATTGTGGCCAAGTGCACGAGGTCGTGTCCGAATGGCATGATACCCTTGCCAGTCTTCAGCATTTGTACTGGCCGTATAAAAAGCAGACGGAGACGAGGCATCCATTATACCAGGTACTTCAAGACGAGATCAAGAATTCTTCCAGATATCCTTCACCAGGGGAAGATAGCAAGTACTTGGAGTTGATAGAGGCGGGGAATTTGGTAGAGGCGGGGAAGTTGTATGATTTTCGGGCTTTGCAGACTAGGCTTGAGAATACTCTGGATAATTGTTGGGCTCAGCGCGAAGAGAATGTTCGTCTGAGGGTGGAGGCTATGTCAAGAGAACAGGACTGTGCACATCTTCAAGAACTGCTGGGAGAAGTCAAGGCCGAATTGTCCGATGTACAAGGCAATAATAGCACACTCACATGTACCATCAGTGATCTACAGGGTGCGTGCGATCTCAAGATGAAACAGTTAACCGAAATCACGGCCGAATTGTCAATTGTGCGAGGCAACAATAACAGTCTCAAGGACGCCAATGAAGAGATGCGCAAGGAGGTCTATGACAAGCAGAAACAGCTGAACGAGGTCACAGTCGAACTGTCAAATGTACGACACGCCATTGAAAGATTCAGAATCTTCAATGAAGACATGCGCAAAGAGATAAATGGCAAGCGGGAACAGATCGAAACTATCACCTCCCAACTTTCTAGCGTATCGGCAGACTTGGACAGTACTACGAAAGAATTATCCGTCGCTTGTGAAATGAAAGGACAAGTCCAGAATGATCTTCACGCGGCACTCGAGGAAATCAGCAATCTCCAAGCTCAGCTTACTGAGATTCAAGTACAGCAGTCCACTACAATCTGGTGCAAGATCAAGCGTTGGATTCAAGAGAAAGCTTCATGTTTATCTCGTGATAGACGGAGGCGTGGAATACGGGTTGATGAGGAAGAGGTTGCACTTGCTCCTGTGAAACCGAGTAACCTTGCTTGAGTGAAATCTATACATCTTTAGGGTATATGCTAATTCGATAATGAGATTCTGCTCTTTATTCAGCAATTGTTACTAATTTATTGTACTAATCAAACAATCAATAACGCTAACCCAGAAGGACAGACTCAACCTGCAGCATGTATTTTCTTTTGCTAAAGCTATAGTACTCAATTCACCGAATCAATTTCACATGACGCACTGCTTACTTCTTTACTATCAGAGCCTTGCACCGCCCCATCGAAGATCTCCAGATCAACGTGTGCCCGATGCGCATACCTTTCCAGATGATCCGACGCAGCCGTGCAGCCAAGAAAGATGCGAATGCTAACACGAAGTGTAGAGCATCGCATTATAGTACAAAGCACTATCATGGTTGATCTTCACAGTGATCTAAGCATATGACGAAGCTCCATTACGTACAATGCCTCTAGGGCAATCATTCAACCTGAAAAATTACCTCAATGACTACTACTCGGTCCGAATAATTTACGAATTCCCTCAATCTCTTCTTACTACTTAGATACCTCAATAAATCTATTTAAAGCAGCAGAAAAATTCTATAATATCCACCAAGTAGAGTGGAGAATCATCTTGCCAGCCGGGTGTTGACGGATAACGTCGTAGCGAAGGGATCAGTTTCCACAGGGACCAGACCCATCACAGACCCTTTGTATACCCTGTATCGGGCCGATTGAAAAATATAGCATACAAGCTTGTGCTATGCTAACAATGCTTTATGGATTGTGCACAGTAAGCGAAGGGAAACGGTGCTGCCTGGGTGGGTAAGCAGTGATGGATAATCTGATGTGGGCCGGGGTCTCGTGTCCACTAGTACGGCTTACCCTGCATAGCCCACGTTTTTGTAAGAGTAGTTGGGATCTACGATGTGAACTTAGATAATACTATGTATAAAGGAATGTGATCATGGAGTTTCTGTTGGTATTCAGAATGGGTTTGGATGGCATGTGTGCCTCGTCATCTTCGCCCTTTTCTTCTTCTTGTGTCTGACATGGTTGTTCTCCGGGATCTTGCTGGATGGATGTATGCATTGAGCCAGATGAAGAACTTCAACACAATGAAGGCAATACTACGCGAGTTCGTATCAAATGTCTGATAGGCGTAATTGATTAATGTAATTAGACCCGAGAGCTGTAGCTTATAATACACCGCTACTAGCTGACAAAGAAGTATCGTTGATATAACCAATTTTGTATTTCCAATATCCATATTTTCTCCGGTCAGAGACCGTATCCGGCGCCCGGTTAAGTATCAAAAGAAGGAATGGTCATGTCTTGAACTAAAGGGAATAAAAATCAATAAATAGAGAACATAACGGGTCCATTAATCATGTTCGCGTTGCCGGATGCGATCGCTATGTCTGACGAGCTTAGCAGACCGTGATGTACAGACCGAGACTAGATTTTCAGTTAGCAGTAGTTCACAGAAGATGTCATGTAATACACTTACGGAGAGGGGTTGTAGTCCTCAAAGAAGTTGAGGTAGGTGCTACCAGCCTCCTTCATCTCGTAGCTGACAGTCTGGCCAGCCGGGCAAGAGAAAGTGGAGATCAGGTAAGAGTTGCCAGGCGAGAGGGTGAAGTCGCCGTAGTCCTGCTTGACTCCAGGAGCGTTGTTGTAGGTCGTCGACTCGCTAGCAGCAGACTCGAGCTGGGAGAAGTCAACCTTGCCGTCTCCGCTGAAAGTGTAGTCGGAGGTCTCGAGCTGATCCTTGGTAGGGAACAGGAAGATCAGACTGCAGGTCTTTCCAGAGTCCGAGGAGGGGATGTCGAAGTTGAAGATGGTCGAGACAGTGGAGGAGACGGTGCCGAAGTACTGAGTACCATAGGCGGTGTCGGGAGTGGAAGAGTTGATCGGGACGATCAGATGAGGGTACTCATAGTCGCCAGAAAGATCAGTGGGGCAGCTGGCAGAGGAAGACTGAGTGGCAGTGCCAGAAGGCTGGGCGCTGCTGGGAGACGCGGAGGTTTGGGGGTAAGAGGGAGTGCCAGACGGCTGGGGAGCAGGAGTTCCAGAGGTCTGGGGGTAGGAGGAAGGCTGAGGAGCAGGAGTGCCAGAGGTCTCAGGGTAAGAGCTCTCAGAAGGCTGAGGAGCCGGAGATCCGGAGGGCTGAGGAGCAGGAGTCTCAGAAGGCTGGGGGGCCGGGGTCTCCGAGGACTGGGGGTATGAAGGAGTCTCCGAAGGCTGAGGAGCAGGGCTCTCGGACGATTGAGGGTAGGATGGAGTCTCGGATGGCTGAGGAGCAGGGGATCCGGAGGGCGCCGGCTGGGAACCAGCGGGAGCAGAAGACCCAGGTCCAACGGGGACCAGCGGGACAGTAGTCTCTCCAGGAACAGAAACCACAGGAGTAGATTCAGCGCCACAGTAGGTTTCGGTCACATAGACGGTCGTCACCTGCACGGCGCCGCTCGACTGGGGACCAGGACCGTAGGGCACTGAAGCACTGGAGGCAGGGCCACCAGGTACCCAGCTAGTCGACGCACCAGCGCCAGGGACACCTGGAGCGCTGGAAGACGGGGCCGGAGCCGGCTGGCTAGACTGAGGGGCAGGGGTCGAAGCCGGAGCAGAGCTGGAGCCAACAGAGCCAGCACCCGAGCCCGAGCAGGAATCAGCCGTCAACTTGATGTTCTCGCAGCCAGTGACGGAGGAATTCTCAGTGGTGTAAAGGTTCAGTTCATTGTTGTCGCCAGTTTGGCAGGCAACAAAATCGGCGTCACCGTTGTACTCCAGCTCACCAGAGGAGGTGATGGAGAAACCCGACATAGGAGATTTACCCAAGTCACACTGGAACTGTGTGGTATCGCCTGTCAGGGATGAGTGGTTAGTAACATATCCGGTATAATGCATATGTGGATAGCTTACTAGTCACAACACAACCGCGTCCGCTGCTATCAGTGATGCCACCGTTGGAGTCAATGCAGAACTGGGTTGCGGGAAGTCCACCACCAATGCGGTTCTGACCATCACCCAGCTGGCCAATGGTGCCAGAAGCATCACCAGAAGCTGTCAGGTGGAAGCAGCAAGAGTCGCTCCGGCCAACAAGGGCATTAGCCCCAGCAGCGAAGGCTGCAAGGGTCGCAACGTTCTTCATACTTGCAAAAGCGAAAGTAGACGACAGCTAGAAAGCAAGCGAACGGATTGGGGGTGTTGTAAGAATAAAGATTGTTTTTGGAAGAGTTATTGGCCGGGGTAAATTAACAAGCAAGCCGAAAAACCCAGGGTACGCTCAATATTTATAAACTATAGTGGGTACATAAAAGGCACGTCATGGGCAATTGCCGGTGGTAAACCGGACAGAGTCAACACGCACACCTCCACAGCACAGCAATTCGAAAAAATAGAAACAGACATTCAGCCAGTTGCATTGCTTCTGCTGGACTGGCAGTTCGACCATGGAAAAGAAACATGGAGGGCCACCGTTGATCCCGCTAGGCACCACCGGACAGCGAATAAACAAGCTGCAAGTTGTCCGACAACGCCGGGCCTGGAAGCTTCGGGATTGAAGGAGCAATGAAAGCAGACGTCATGAGCATTGGGCCTTGTGGAGGGGGGATTCTATGAAAAACACCCGATCTGGAAGTTGGCTGTGAGATAGAAGCGGTATCAGTGGCTCGGGCGATGCAGGGCACAAGCCAACTGTGGACCCAGCCCCATCGAGCAGCCTTTGGATCGGCCGGGAACCCTGCCCTGGTCAATACCTTCCGGACTCATGGACTCAGGCGGGTTATTGCGAGTCCGGTGGCGAGATGGCAATGCCACCCACGGTACAACACGCCATTCAGCCATACATAGCGAGCATTGTTGTTATCCATACAAGGAACATGGGTAGGACACCCACGGGCCTGCTTCTATTCATAATCGCTCACAGCGGAAAACCGGGAACGCAAGGTAAGCGACAATGCTCTATGCTCGACATAAGCAATCAATCCTGAGTGCAAGTATCAAGCATAGTCCGCGTAAGTCAGGAGGGATGTGGAGGGGGAGCTATAGCCACCATCACGGCCTAACAACAGGGAAGGATGGGAATCCTGGGATTAACCGGGGAAGGGTGCCTTGCATTCTGCTCAGAAGGGTTTGGACTCGAAGCATATACGACATGCAGTGCGGAGTAGGGGGATACGGTTGACGTTGACTCTTGCCTTGGATGTGTTGCTTAGGACTTCGGTGAACAGCTTTTGGATCCCGCTTGGGAAGCAGCATAGCCCGCGTAGCAGCAGTACAGCAAGCGACTGTATGTCATGATGGAATAATTCTTGGCACGGTGGATTATTGATGAGTTGATTATTCGATGGGAATAGTCATTAAAATGGAGATGAGGGACTATCAATCTACTCTTTGGGAAGGTCGGAGAAACCCGGCAGAACCCAGTCCACTCGGATCAATAGTAAGCCCGTGTTCCGCGGGTGGGGGATGACGCCAGCCTCGCTGGACTTCCTCCATCCAGCTTCCATGAGGCTTCCAGGATCCATCGTCCTATTCCTTCTCTCGTCTGCCGGCAATACACCACCCGAGCCACTGCGCCACGTCATGGGAAATTCTTACTGACCCTATGCCCGGCTCGCTGCCTTTCCCTCCCGAGAAAGCAGAGCGGAAAAAGAAACTGAATATGAACCAAAGACCGGTTCTAGGCAACCCTGAACAGTAACCAATCTGCCTCCATGGGACAATGGTAGCAGCCATGGTTGCCTAAGTGTTTACCCAAACGATAATGATCAATTGTGTAAACAAACGATACACAAACAGATATACTATGAGCCGTACATATATAGAAACAACCCGGTCAACGGCAACACAATCCCAGGATTCCGGCCTGACCAGCCTCGTGTCATTGGCGTCCATCTGACAGGTGGGCAACGCAGCCCTGTTGGCCGCCAGTGCCCTATAAGCTTCGCCGGCATCTGGATGGCTGCGCGATCGATTTCAATCTATACTCTTTTAGCCATTTTCAATATTACTTTCCTATATTATTATTCTCCATTACATCTGCGGAACACGATTAGATTCTCCGTCGCGCTTCTGCAGTGCGTCGTAAGTAAACCCGCCCCATCCTGGCTCCATGCTTATCTCCCCACCTCAGCATTTCTCAATCTCTTGAACATCGAACTCTGGTTCGAACCATATAACCAGTCCATCCTGAAACACGACTTCTCAGTCAAAGCAGTCCCATTGGGCCTCCAGGGGTTCCCTATCACATTTTCACTCTCACTCTCTCCCTATTCACGATCCTCAAAATTCCAGTCTCATCAAAATCAAAAGCAAAGCCGTTGAGAACGGGGCACTTTGCAGACCAAATCCCCGCACTGCACTCTGTAGAAGCTTACGTACACCCTCACCTAACAACGGTCAATCAAGGTCTAGACAGTTGGCTAGAATCCACCTAAACTCTGATCCCTCTCTACTCTGTTAAGTGAGTTATGTGCTGGCCCACCATCCATGTGTCCAGGATGGGCAAACAAGTGGGTTATCCTTCGACCTGTTTGATTCCAGACCTTTACAGTAAACCAGCAGCACAATGCTCCGAACAATGGACACATCCACAATTCGAATTTTCCACGATTTTCTTCCTCTCTCTCTACCCTTCATTCAGTCAAGGATCGGTCCGACGGACGGACGGACGGAATAATGCTTATGCAAAAGCATTCTGTAAATGATCCAGATGACAAGACACAGATGGATGCCTGCAGGACTCGCGAAATTTTGATTTCGTCGGACTTGCCGGGGTTGGACAACAAACAACCCCAACATAGCATCAGTTAAACCAGTTAACAATCAATTAGTGATTCCCTTGACTAACAATAATGTAATGCGCACGTCCACCAGTGTCTCACACGATCCAAGCTGGTTGAGTTGAACTAGAGCTGTCAGAATCAAGTACAGCACATCATTTCCATGTCGATCTTCATTTTAAAGTCCAGCTGCCCAGTCTTGACCTCATCGAGTCCCTAAGCAACCGGCGATCGATCAGGCAGCCCAGATCGACTCTGAATTCAATGCTAGGTGTTGTTTCCCATTTCTGGGCCAGCTAGCCAGTGTGTATCTGACGTAAATAAATAAATAAATAACTACTTCATCAAGTAATGGTTGTTGATCACTCAAATCCCTACGATCTTCGTGCGGTCTACCCCGATAGCTATTGAACTAAAAGCAAACATCAATGATTTGTTTATGATGTAAACATTATTATGATGCTGTGAAACTCTGCTGCGTCTTTTACCTAGCGGGGTAAGGGAAAGATGGAGCTTGAACAATGTTCACATGTTGAATTTGACATGGATGGATGGACGTTGCTTGTAAAAGTCACATAGATGAACCACCAGTTCACACTTGTGGCTGGCAGGCTCCGTGCTTGTTGACTTGGATATCAGGTAGTATCTGGGTATCATTGATAGATACTTAACTGCGGAGAAGAAGCGCTTATTTATACCCCATCCCATGGAAACTGGACATAAGGCAGAAATTTTATAGTTATCCAGGTGTACATGGTTCACATTGGACCTAGACTAATGCCACAATCACTGTTACAGAGAGTTTGAGAAGGTTCATGGTATATATATGTGTAGTATGTCGAGGGTGAAACGTAACCATGTCTCCATCTGTAACTGACCGTAAGTACTCAATTGAGCCCAATACACCCAGTAACGGAAGCACAGTCAGAGAGCCCTATTCTTCATTCTTGGACTTCGAACTTTGAATGACTATACCATGGGAAAGCGGTATAGTCATGCCAAGGTAGAAACTACCTTGGTTTCGGTCCTTTCTACGGCACAATGGGAGAATGAAAATGTCGCAGTATCATGCATCTGTGCATCGGTATATATTGGGTATCTGTTTGGGTTTCGTTCTATCTGAGTCTTACCTCATGCGGGCAGCCTTGAATCTGCTCACCCGTTTGGGCGCATCCTCAGTCTCAATTGGCACAATTTCCGGCTCCTCGCCTACGAAGCCGCCATTTTGCTGGATCATGCGGTTCCGGATCTTGTAGAACTCTGTTGCGATCTCCTTCTTATGCAGCTGCTCGTCGAGCTCATCGGGCTCTGGTGCTACTGCTGGACCTGCTGGGGTCTCCCGTTCAACGAGCGTATCGGCAAGAATCTTCCCTTCAGGGCCCCTGGGTGTAGGGTCTTCTTGCTCCACGATGTCGGAGATAGGCTGGGAGAAGGGCTTGGGTTCCGCTGGTTTAGCAGGGAACAGAGGTAGAGCTGGCCCAGTGGTAGATGTCTCAGTCTTGCGTAGAGCCGAGCGAGGTTCGGCAGGTCGAGAAGTGTTGCTAGTTTGGGTTGTTGACGCAGTGGCGTCTTCAGTTGCGTTGTTGGTTTTCCGGGCACTCTTGAACCGGGATACTTTCTTCGGGGCGTCACTCTGCACAGATTCTTTCCGAGCAGGTTCTGTGCGTTCAACAACAGCATCCTGAAGAACAGGCACGTTAGACTCTCGGACCGGAGCGACCTTCTTCTCCACAACCGGAGGCTTGGAAGCCGGAGCGATGTCGAGTTCGTCAGCAAAAGCAACCCTCTTCTTCGGTTTCTTCTCCTTGACTGGCTCGCTACTCGTGTCTGCCTTATCCTCGACACGAACAACACTGGGCTGATCTAGGTCCTGCCTGATTTCGTTCGGAAGCGTTTGCGTGTCTTTTCCGGCATTCCACATTCCCCGAGCATTGAGCTTTTCCTCCAGCTCGCGCATCTGGCGGTGATAATCTTCGCTCAAAACACGCCTAGTGCTCCTTCCGTATTCGTCCTCCTCTTCATCTTCGTCTTCGTCATAATCATAAGCATCATAGTCTTCATCAACAGAAATATCACTTGCGTCTTCGTCCAACTCAAGCTCCGCCACGACAGAACCGACTTCGTTCAGACTATACTGGAGCATCTCACGGCGTAATTTGGCATCCTCCGGAGACTCGTCGACTTCCATAACAGGACGCTCGCCATGAATTTCGACGGTCGGGTCTAACGCAGAGCTTGTCTCCTTAGCATCGCTTCCCAAAGATTTGACGGAGGGCTCCTCGCTGGCGGATGTATCATCTTTACCAAGACTGTCTGCAGAAGACGCCTCCTCCGTACTCTGAGTGACTTGCTGAGAAGAACTCGATACTGGCGTATCGGCCTTAGCTACATCAGGTATATCCTTCACACCAGCCTTCTTCAAAACCTCCAAAAGATCGGTGGCCTCGCTGCCGGGTGTGGTTGTCTTGCTTGAAATAATCTCGCCGTTTTCATCGAGTTCTTCGAAAATCTCAGTCATAGGAAAATCCGCCGTAGGTTCCACCGGTAACCGATCTTGGGAGTCGAGCGCGTACAGTTGATCCTCTGCCGCACGTAGCCGTTTCTCTATAGTCGACGCATTTTGCTTCACGTAGTCGATTCGCCTCGTTACCAGATCAACCGCCTGTTGCTTGGTTCGCGTCACGCCTTGTTTCTCCCCCAAAATCACTTTGACCTCCTCTTCATTGACCAGGGAGCCACCAAAGTCGCGTCCTACTCGGAGGTAGTCATCCATTGTCGCATCGTCGTCCAGCTCGTTTATCTCGTCTTTGAGGCCGTCGTATTCGGCCTCCCACGTCCTCCAGTGGTAGAGGGAATCTTGTAGCTTCGAGATGTTCCCCTCAAGTTCGAGGCGCTGGCGTTCCAGCTCATGCAGGCTGTTGTTTGGAACACCCATTGTAGAGTATGCTGAGAACTATCCAGGGAAAGCAGCCGTTTCGTAGGAGTGTAAAAGTGCACTGGGAGGGGGATGTCCGAATAGAAAGAGAAGGAAGGCGGCGGCAAAGAAAAAGTTCCGCCGCGGAACAAGAGCGGAGAACAGAACATGATTGGCCCGTGCACGCAGCTGGATTATCAACCTTCCATGCCACTGAGGAATCACCTCTTCCTCCCAACCTGTCGCGTGCCTCACGTACTGTGCTGTCCAGAGCCTCTTTGAGCTGCAGTGACCCTCAAAATGCCTCCTGCTCGTGATATCATGGCTCACCGGGGGGATGACGACGGCAAGTCTACTTCCCATGACCCTTTTGAATATACACTGACTGTCAGCAGAGGTGTGCCCTGTCTGCAAATCTTCGCGGTATCTGAATCCAGACATGCGATTTCTCATCAATCCTGAATGCTATCACAAGATGTGCGAGTCCTGCGTGGACCGAATCTTCTCCTCAGGCCCCGCGAACTGTCCTGTGGCGGGCTGTCACAAGACCTTGCGCAAGAACCGGTTTCGCAAGCAGACATTCGAGGATATCAATGTGGAAAGGGAGGTGGACATTCGGCGCAGAGTGATGCAGATGTACGTCACGAGCAAACCACTAGGCCCAGAAATGGTCTCACTAATACTTCTCTAGTCTCAACCGCCGCGAAGAAGAGTTTGATTCGAAACGAGCCTACGATGACTTCCTAGAACAACGCGAAGAGATAATAGCGAACCTTGTCCATGGTACAGATGTGGCGAAGACGGAAAGCGACCTGCAAAGATATGCTGCAGACAACATGCGGTCAATTCGCGCCAACCAAGCCCTCGAAGCACAAGAGGCCTCGTCCTTCCGAGAACAACAGACACACGAACAAGAACTGGCACGTCTTCGGCGAGAGGCAGCTAGACTGGAATATGAGAATGAGCGGAAAGAAATGCTTGCCGGTCGAGAAGATGTCCTCAGTCGTCTTGCGGCAGGTCGACCTGGCGACGCAGCGGCTATCGCCCGCGAAGGCCACAAGGTGTTGCTCAAGAAATCTTCTGCTCGTCGTAGTGAAGAAGACCGCATCCGACAAAAGCAAGCTGCTTTGCGTAATTCCGATGCCAGGAAGGCCGGCCAGGGTGCCCTCACCACGGCGGACAGGGCAGATGACAGTGGTGATTCTGGTCTGATCAAGGGTCTCAAGAAGATCAAGACGCCCGAGCCTGAAAAGCCTTACGATCCTTTTGGTGGCCTCATTCCCAACAAGAGGGACTATTATACTCTGCGCGACCATTACCCGAACAGCTACCTCGACCCTATTCGCCAGGACACTCGTATGCAGGCCGGTGGATACGACCTTCAAGAATACTACTCGCGTACTCTGATGGAGGCCTTTGCAGGTCTTGGGTGCTTCATTGATGAGGAAGTGTCCAAGCGAGAGGTTACAAGTACGATGGGTATTTCCAGACCTGTGGCTACTGAAGGTGCTGCTTTGGCGGCTGTTTCAAGTGCAGGCGCTCCAGAAGCCAGCTCGTGAGTTGTGGTCATGATTCTTTTTTTCCTCCGCTGATAGAGCTACTGGATTTGGGTCGTTATATTATTGGTTGCGGCGTTTAGGCATTTGTGTTGCATAGCGATGGCGTTTTGTGACAGTTTTTGAGCACTCGGAAAAGCTTTATGACTGAGATTGTTCAATTCGTTCAGGTACAATAGGTATACAAACAGGTAAAGCTAGTACAAACCAATAAATTGCATGACAAAACAAAGTAAGTAAAACCGAACTAGGAAAAAGAAAATAGTGTAATGTACAACCGTCTAAATGAATACATGGGCTCACAACTTGCCACCAGTGATCTGCTCTCCCAGCTGCTTGACTCTGTTCTGGATGACGTCCCAGCGAGCGGTCTCGCTCTTCCTGGTCTCGTTGACAATACCCTGGACAGTAGGGGGCACACCCAAGTTCCAGATGTTCTCGCCCTCCTGGTGGTCACTGCGCCAGGCCTCGTTCTCACCCTCGGGGAAGACCCGCTCAATCTCAGCCAGAAGCTGAGCCTCTGTGGTAATGAAGTTCCGAGCATTCATGTACAGCTCTTGCAGGTTGTCTTGACGCTCGGCCTCCTTCACAGCCTGCTGGTACTCGAGGCGGGCCTTGGACTCAGCCAGGCGGGTCTCGCGGTCAGGATCCGGCAGCACAGCGGTATGTTTGGGTAGCATGTCCTGAATGACGGAGTTACGGGTCAACCGCTGGTCTTCTCTCTCAGGCTGGCGGAGGATACGGTCCCGACGCTTCTGCTTCTCCAAACTCCGCTGCATCATGGCCTTGTCCGTCCGCTGCTTCCGGGTGTGTAGTTCCAGGAGACCTTCGCGGAGGTTTTTGCGTCTCATCTCCGCCATGCGCTTCTTCCACTCAATGTATTCGGTGTTGGGGTCATTGGGGTCCAAGTTGGTCTCCTTGGTCGGAAGAGGCGTCGCGGCATTGATGTATGCCTCTGTCGGCTTGTCCTTGCGGCGGGCCGGGAAGAGTTCTCGGGGGACGGGCAGGGTACCCTTGACGCGGGGCTTCGAAGGAAGATCGGGCTGAATGGGTTGAGGAATGTCGACGAAGTTGGGAGACTCGGGGCCGACCCGCAGGCAGGAGGATGAGGTGAAGCCGCGGAACTGCACAGTGGCAGCCCTGCAATTGCGGAAGAGAGACATGGTAAACAGTGTCTGTCTGCTCAAGGAAAGTGGCGGAGCAATATTGGTGACTAGTGGATGGAAGAAAAAGAATTGATAGAGACCAGGTAGCCGGTCTACTTCGGATCGAGGACCAGCACAGGAGGGTGAGATGGCTGATGGCCTGCGCGGTGCTATTGCGGGAGTCGAACGAGGACGAAGCGATTTTCTTGCGCCTGGTCCGTGCACCGCTTAGCTTGGCGCCCGCCTTTGGAGAAAAAAATAATTTCCCGCGCTTCGAAACTTTTTTCCTTTCTTTCTCTTCCCTCTTTGCGCTCCGCCATTTCTTTTTTGTGACACTTTATCTTTGATATTTTTTCATATTATTCTTCTTCAAGGTGCCTTGAGCGCTTACTTGCACAATGGGTACCTTCAAGAAGGAAGCCACTCGTAAAGAGCGGCAGGGGAAGACTGGAGATGGCATGGGGAACGTCCGGGTAAAGGGTGAAAACTTTTACAGGTCAGTATTCTCCTTACGACAGATGGTCATGGATATGTGTACTGATTTCTGGAAGAGATGCGAAGAAGTTGAGGACCTTGAATATGCTCAAGGATGGTAAACCCCAACGTAACGCTGAAGGAAAGATCACCAAGGCTGCTTCGTACCAGTCTCGAGACGCCCCCGTCGCTAGGATTGAACCCAACCGTAAATGGTTTGGAAACACCAGAGTGATCTCGCAAGAGGCTCTGTCCTCTTTCCGTGAGGCGGTCGCTGAGCGTGCCTCTGATCCGTATTCCGTCTTACTCAAGACCAACAAGCTTCCCATGAGCCTGATCAGAGATGACAAGGGTGTGAATGGACTGAAGCAGCACCAGGCCAAGATGGCCATCGAGACCAACCCCTTCAGTGACACCTTTGGGCCCAAGGCTCAGAGGAAACGTGTCAAGTTGGGTGTCTCGTCGCTTGCGGATCTGGCTGGCGAGACCGCCAAGATGCACGACGCCTTTGTTGAGAAGTCGGACCATGCTACTTATGAAGATGGCACTATGGTGGTGAATGGTGATGATGTCGCAGTAGAGGAAGACTCTAGTGTTGCACCCATCGCGAAGGAGGCTGTCTTCCTTAAGGGACAGAGTAAGCGTATCTGGAACGAGCTCTACAAGGTCATCGATTCCTCCGATGTTGTCATCCATCTCCTTGATGCTCGTGATCCGGAAGGTACACGGTGCAAGAGTATTGAGAAGTACATCCGAGAGGAGGCTCCTCACAAGCACTTGATTTTCGTCCTGAACAAGTGCGATCTTGTACCTACAGGTGTGGCGGTAAGTCTATCTTCGCTTTCTTTCTCTCATTGCAATTTCCCCTTTTCCTTTGATCTACAATACGGCCCTTCGCCGTTGCCATCGCTAAGTCAAGGCGCCTCCTGCGACTTCATGTCGCGCTATTCGCTATGGGAGACTGTCTGTTACAGCTTTGGCAGATTGACGCTGGTCCGCGCCGACCTTCTTTCTGAAGCTAGGCTGATTGGTTTTCGTTTTGAAAGCCGATCGTTAAGGACCGAGCTGTGTTCTGTTTTTGAGTTGAGTCCTGCTTCCGCTCTTGAAGTGGCATCATAGCAGGTCTCTTAGTAACATTTCACACATCCTGTCATCATACTTTTGTTTTATTTCTTCTTTATATGTTTTCTTCTTTTACTATGCTATACTCTGATAGCAACGCTGGTGTTCAGCTGCTAACGTGACACCAGGCTGCTTGGGTTCGCCACCTTTCTAAGGATTATCCTACCTTGGCTTTCCATGCTTCTATCAACAACTCCTTCGGAAAGGGCTCGTTGATCCAGCTACTGAGACAATTTTCTTCTTTGCACTCGGACCGGAAGCAGATCTCCGTGGGATTCATTGGATACCCCAACACTGGAAAGTCTTCCGTCATCAACACCTTGCGCAAGAAGAAGGTGTGCACTGTGGCTCCTATCCCGGGTGAAACCAAGGTGTGGCAGTACGTTACCTTGATGAAGAGGATCTACCTCATCGATTGCCCTGGTGTTGTTCCTCCAAACCCGAATGACTCTCCTGAGGATATTCTTCTCCGTGGTGTCGTCCGTGTGGAGAACGTAGAGAACCCTGAGCAGTACATTCCAGCTATTCTCAAGCGTGTTCAGCCCAAGCATTTGGAGCGTACCTATGGTATCAAGCGCACTGACGACCCCATCGAGTTCCTCAGTCTCCTTGCCCGCAAGGGTGGTCGCCTCCTACGTGGTGGAGAGCCTGATCTCGACGGTGTTGCCAAGATGGTCATCAACGATTTCCTCCGTGGAAAGATCCCTTGGTTCACTGCTCCCCCTCACAACTCTGGCGAGGAGGGCGAGAAGATTGAAGGTCGTGAAGGTCGCCTCGGTGAAATGAGCCGCAAGCGGAAGCTTGATGAGACCGCTCCTGAGGCTGCTGATACCACTGAAGCGGCTGAGAAGCAAGAGTCTGGCTCGGGAGATGAGTTCGAGGGCTTTGACGAGGAGGATGATGATAACGACTCGATCGCCAATCTCGAGGTTAGCGACGAGGAAAGCGGAGCAGAGGAAGATTAAACAGGAAATCTACTCTGAACTACTTTCAACACCCCGCGGATCGCCGATCCGCCCGTCACTAACCCATTGACCTTGGGCCCATGTCGTCGCCCTTTCAACCGGAGCGGAACCGACAGTCACGCCATGCCCGACCGATCATCGGGCCGCTGACGGAAAGCTGTATGGCCCATTGGCATCCTTGACGATGCAGATCGATCGGAGGTCGGAACGCCACCGAGCATATCCAGTTCAGGCCTGGTTTCACACGGCCTTGCTGACATGCCACCTGGACAGCTTGTCTGCCAGTACATGTCAACCCATGCAGGAAAGACCGGGATCCGAGCCAGCTATCCCTCGGCCCCACTGCTTTTACTTTTAGATACCCGCATAGTGCTGAGAAGCATAGCATCAAATTAAGAGAGAGATCGTCTGATAATCCATGTTCATGCATTTATAGTAATCCGCGTACATTCTAGTTGAATACACGAGTAAAAAGCATTTCTGGACGCGACGCGGCGACTTTCCAGCTTCACCGCCAGGGCCGCTCACGTGCGCCCAGCCTCACTCTCGTCATCCGGTCTCCGCAGCAGCGGCCAGAACATGCCAGCTACTGCTTAAGATCGGCCCCTTTTTCATGGCTTTGCGGCCTTGTATTTCTCTGCGTCCTTTAAGCATGGGCTGCTCTGCCTGCTATAATGGCGGACGAAGGCATGTCCATTGTTCCCTACGGGTCAGGCAATCTTGACGTCGTACTGTAAGCTTCCGCTCCAAGCTTCCCCTCACCCCGAGCCTGGCTTCCCCACCAGACACTTGCCCACTATGAAGATAATTCTGACAATGCTTCTTGACAAGCCGCCATAACGACTCTGTCGTTGTTTTCGACCGAGACTCCCAGCAACTTGTTCTTCGACATGCAGCCGAAAGCGATGACGGCAACCTGGAGCTCGCTGACTGCCCGTATTGCCATCGACCCCTACGTGATAGCAGCTCGGCCCAGGACGACCACCATGGCGGAACGCAGCCGGAATTTATCAACCCACACTATTTCCGTATGCTTCACAATAGCTTGCCCAGCTCTGTGAGCTCATCTAGCCCTCCGTCACCCCGTCGACGTCTGGTGCCGCCCGCACTTGCAGACGGTCCCACCAGCGAGCCCAGCTACTCGGGTAGCGGCATACACTCTACGCAAGGAATCTCTTCCGCCGCTTTTACACAGGACTATTTCAAGAAGTTTTTCGTGGAAGAGACGGTTTTAGGAAAGGGAGGGAAAGGAGTGGTTTTGCTGGTAAAGCATGTGCTGGACGGTGTATCGCTCGGACAGTATGCCTGCAAGCGGGTTCCCGTTGGTGACGATCATGAATGGCTAGAGAAAGTGCTCGCAGAGGTGCAATTGCTGCAGCATCTTACACACCAAAACCTTGTTTCATATCGTCATGTGTGGCTAGAGAACGCCAAGATCAGTACGTTCGGGCCAAGTGTGCCTTGTGCATTTATTCTCCAGCAATATTGTAACGCTGGGGATCTGCATAACTATATCTGTGGTTCAGTTGACACTCCGACAACCACTGAGCAGCTGAAGGAGCGTCTGCGAAGAAAGTCCCGAGGAGGACCGGAGCCTCCGTCTGAAGCTGGTGGCCTTCGCAAGTTGAACTTCGAGGAAATTTATTCTTTCTTCAAGGATATCACCTCAGGGCTGCGTTACCTCCATGCTAATGGATACATTCATCGTGATCTGAAGCCAAACAATTGTTTGCTTCACAAGACCAGTGACGGAATTCGAGTTCTCGTGAGCGACTTTGGCGAGGTTCAGGCGCAAGACTCGATGCGGAGATCTACTGGGGCGACCGGGACGGTTTCGTTTTGCGCTCCGGAAGTTCTACGGCGAGATTATCCAGGGGGTCCATTTGGGAACTTCACATTCAAGTCCGATATCTTCTCTTTGGGGATGATACTCTACTTCCTCTGTTTTGCGCAGTTGCCCTACACGCACGCAGACCTGATCCATGAGGAGAAAGAGGATCTCGATCAGCTTCGTGAGGAGATCAGCCATTGGGCTGGGTTTGACGATGCGCAGTTTATCAGGCCAGATTTGCCTGGGCAGCTCTACACATTCTTAAAACGTCTACTGTCCTTGGACCCTGACGGGCGGCCGTCTGCAGACGAGGTTCTGAGCGGACTACAGGCTGGTGCCAACGTTAACGAGAGTTTTCGATCAAGAAGGACCAGTCCAACAAGCCCTGACATTCGTCCAAGCGCGAGGATTCATCCGGTGGAAAGCACGGATTCTCCATCCTTCCGGCCATCCAGCTCTCCGAACAAGTCTCTGACACGGAGTCCAGTGGCTGTACGACGAAATCCACTGTATGAGTCGGAAGGTGCCGAGGCTGCATTGAGGCCGGTTGTAGAAGAAACAAGCCCGTTGTCAGAGCGAAACACCCCGCTCAGCCCGGAAAACGACATGATGGTGCGGCCTTGGTTCTCCAGCGCACAATCGCACTCTCCCGCACAAGCCGAACATCGCGAGGTTCCCCAGGAGCGACCGCAGCCTGTCCAACAGTTACTACCCCCGCCTCCCGGTCGTTTCTCTCTGGCTAGAGTCTTCCCGGGCGCTGCATCATTCATCGACTCGCAGATCCCTACAGTGGCGTTGCAACTGGCGGCATTCCTGCTCAAGGTCGTCTCCACCTTCCAACCCTGCAGTCCTCTGGCAGTCAATCCCTGGGTTGCTTATCCTCTACTTCTGCTGGCTGCGGTCAACTTCCCAGCCGCTGGGCTATGGACCCAGATTGTTTCTCTTCTCCTCCACCTTTTAATTGTCAGTTTATCAATGCGGATGGAAGCCCTGTGCTGGCGGGCATCACATAGTGCGATATTATTTTCTCGATAGCTACGCCACATCGCGGCGTACGGGCGTTGTGTGTGGTCAAAAGTGAGCAGGAAGTCTGTACTTCCCAATGTGTCGGGCCTGACGATATATGTATAATGAACGAATGATGAACCACCGTTTTCTTTGGGTTCTTACCTGGCTTTTTCGTTATCCTGTAGTCTACCTATCTAATAGTATCCACACAAGAGTAGCATTGGTGAGGAAGTTGGCCAAGACTGCAAAGGATCGGACTAAATGGCTTACCTGCATTAAGCTCGCATCAGCCCGGGGGGCAATCACCTCATCGACTCCTCGTTCCTGATTGGCACAATTCCGGCTTTACAGGATGCTCCATCATTTACTATTCTGATAGCTTCTGCCTGGTTGTTACTTATCTCTCTCTTATAGTAGCCGGCCTCCCCGCTGCAATTTCGCTCATGCTTCTAGTTTCAGTTTTCTCAGTCCCTCTGCCCCCTGCCCGGAATGGCCATAAGCCCAGAGGCCATCGAGCTCTCGGAAGCTACACACCCTGGGGAGGGTTTCGAGAAGGTCCAGCAAGTTCCGGAAGATGTAGTCGGCGACACTACCGTCCTGCAGAATGAGGAAGCTAAGCCTGAGGCCGAGTCTGAGCCCGATGAGGCCATCTATCCCCACGGGGTCCAATTCGTCCTTATTTCCCTGTCCCTTTGTTTCTGTGTCTTTCTGGTTGGCCTGGTAAGTGCTACTATTTGCAGATCTCCATGCGCTGGTTAATGTCATATTAGGATGCCACGATCCTAACCACCGCTATTCCGCGTATAACCGACGAGTTCGGGTCGGTGGCTGATGTTGGTTGGTATGATGCTGCTTTGTGAGTCTATCCTACAGATCAGTAACCCTGTATATCCCTGCTAACGGCGTCCAAGCCGACTCACCTCCTGCATGTCGCAGCTTTCCCAGGGAAAGCTATATGACAACTACCCGGTCAAATGGGTCTTTCTCATCAACCTACTGCTGTTCGAGGGTGGCATCCTTCTCTCGGGCCTGGCGCCGAGTTCGTTCATCTTCATCATCGGAAGGGCCATAACCGGCTTGGGTTTTTCTGGGATCAGTCAAGGCTGCATGGTGTAAGCACTACAGTACATAGAGACATGTCTGAAAGCTAACAAACATCCAGCATCATTGCAATTTCTACGCCTCTACGAAGAAGACCGACCTTTGTCGGCCTAATCAGCGCCAGCGAATACACCGCCATCGCCATAGCCCCTATCCTGGGAGGCATACTCACATCCGACCTATCCTGGCGATGGTGTTTCTACATCAATCTGCCCGCTGCAGCGCTACCATCCGCTGTGCTTCTCCTTCTCAAGCTCCCGACCATCACCCCCAGGGGCTCGAAAACACACATACAGAAACTCCGCGAGCTGGATCTACTCGGATTCTTCCTCTTCGCACCCGCAGTACTATGTCTCCTCCTCGCGCTCCAATGGGGCGGCGATACCTACAGCTGGACCAACGGACGAATCATCGCCCTTCTCGTCCTCTCGCCCATCATCTTCACGGGCTTCTGTCTCCTCCAGCACCGCAAACAAGACACCGCCATGCTCCCACCGCGCGTCCTCCGTAAACGCATCATTATAACCGGCGCGGCCTTTAGCCTGTGTCTCTCAGCCTGCCGCGCCATCATTCAATACTACGTACACTCCCCATCTCCACCCTTTCCCTCACTCTCTAAACACAAACTAACCAACCCCAGCTCTCAATCTGGTTCCAAACCGTCCGCAACGCCACCCCACTCCAAAGCGGCCTCAACACCCTCCCCCTAGTCATCTCCGTCCTCATCAGCGCCATCACCGGCGGTTGGCTCATCTCCCGCACACGCACCTACACCCCAATCCTCCTCCCCGCCTCCCTCCTCGTCATCGCCGGCATTGCCCTCATGACAACCTTCACCCCCACCACACCCGCCAAGCTCTGGATCCCATCACTCATCCTCCTAGGCCTCGGCTCCGGCAGTGCCGTCGGCGTGCCCTTCATCGCCGTACAGGCCATCCTCCCCATGAAGGATATCTCCATAGGCATGGCACTGATGACCTTCTCGCAGGACATCGGAGAAGCGGTGTTCATCAGTGTTGCGCAGGCGATATTCTTGAACCGGTTGACGGGGGACTTAGCGGAGAGTGTGCCCGGGTTGGATCCGGTGATGGTGACGCATCTGGGTGCGACAAGCTTGGAGGGTAAGTTGCCTGGGAAGTACTTGGAGGCGGTGATAGGGGCATACGATGTTGCGGTTAGGGGGACTTTCTTGTTGGCGGTTGCGTTGGCGGGGAGTGTGTTTGTGGCGGCGCTTTTGGTAAAGAGGAATCCGTTCAAGGTTGGTAATGAGTTGGGGGAGGGGAATAGAGAGGAGGGTAGAGGTGTGTAAAACTGGATGGGCTTTGATGTATGTTGATACATTGTATAGTAGTGTCTTCAAGCGATGCGCAATATTAGGAGTAATATTAAGCGTAAGTAGAAACTCTAATCGAGTTCTACAGGATAAAAAAAACAGTGAATCCGAAAACAATACTAACCTACCTACTCCATATCCCCTATAGTTATTATATAGCCAAAATAGTAAAAAAGACACAAGTAAAAAACTGCGCCAAGCGAGATTCGAACTCGCGTCGCAACCTGATCCAATGTCAGATTGGGAAGGTTGCATCCTAACCACTAGACGATTGGCGCCGGTTGTTAGAATACCCACTCAACTTTAGTCCTATATGGTGGGTGCTGGTTGGTTGTTTTCGCTCTTTTGACAGCTCGGGAACCATGTTTTGGGACCTTTTAGGGTGGAAAGTGGATCTCTGGGTGATGGGGCTATTGGTACGGGGGGGTTTTGAAATGTTTTTTTTTTTTTTCCTCTGCTGGAGTGGGGTGTTTTTTTTGTGTGGAATCACGGGAATGAATGTGTGGGTTTTGAGGGTGTTGGCTGGCTGGCTGGGTTGTGGGTGCTATTGGTAGGGTAGGTTGGGTTGGGTTGCCCTGTTGGGTATGGTGGCGAATATCGTACTTTTTTTTTACTTTGTGGCTCCATAGGCATTCTTTCTTTGTGTGTTCAGGGTACCATATTCTAATATCATATTTTATAATGGGTGTATTCTTAGTCAGATCATTAGTCTAAATAGTAGAACTCGCACTTCATGGTATCATTTCTCCGGAGCAGTAATTATCTGTCTGTCCACGCAGCGCTAACACCCCCGAAGGATTCAAAGTCCGACAAGAGGCCATAGAGTGAGAGTACTGCATCATTACTCGTACTATAGCCTGCATTCCATCAGTGATAGTTATGTTACTGATGGGAAGACAGCTTTCTGTTGTACGTCATTAGTTGTCTCCAATTTGCGACTTTGCCCTCCACCATGTGTTCAATTCAGGTTCAGTAGTTCGTAGGGTCATTCGTATACAGCACTTGTACTAACTATATGTTGATGTTCCTAATTTCTGTATACCAGGCGTCCTATCTACTACTTTCCTGGTGTTTGACAGAATGCAATCATAAGATGAATATGAGAAGGAATAGAGTTGGATGCTTGCTTCCATTTTGCTATTGCACTTGGGTGCAATGATAGTTTGATGATACTATTGTTATTTGGGAGAGGGTGGAAATACGAATAGTATGTACGTGCATTGATGTATGGATTCAAAACAGAACTGAACGAAGACATCTTGCCATACTACTCTCAGTCTCCAGTGTATGCCCGTCACTCAATGTGGATGTCAATGGTTCTATATCTCTATTGACATGGGAGTCGCAGGGTCATGATAGACTAACTACTGACCGGTTCTTTAACCTATTGTTTCTGATAATTTAAAAAAGTGGCTGAAATAGTGGATAGAGTCAAATAACGTTTGCACAGCTGACAGGGTATGGTTCTAGGTACTACCCTAGCTATTATATGAAAGAAGTCTGGACTGCAAGTAATATAGAGGGTAGGATAGCCTCATACATATCATAGTTCCCTTGACGTATCTATCTATCGTTGAATATCAGTGCTACCCTTATAGTTCTGCACTCTCTCAAGTCCCTGGATCGAGCTTAGCATTGACTTTGGACCCTGACGGAAAGCAAACATGTGATGTCATTGCATTGACCAGCTGAATTGGGACTTCAAAAGTATCCTGAAGTAGTCGAAAGACTCAAACTATTGTCGAGACACATCAGATGCTTTGTAACATGCACCTCGACAATAAGAAGATAAGAAATGGAAGGGGGTGAGTTGTGCTCGTAAACTGAAACGGCGAGGAACGAATGACGCCAATGCCCCGCCGCCCCGCCGGTTCAGTTGACTCCGGCCTCCCCGCATCCGTCCTCCGTCTTTGCTGGTCTTTCCCCTTCTCTCTTCCACCTTGAATACCTTCATCTTAATTTCCAACTACCATCATGGATCGCTCTAACAAGCCTGCCGCCATCGGCGTCGGTGCCTCTCTTCCCCAACCCACCATCTCTCTCCGCGACAACACCGTTGAAGCTACCCTCCCCACCGGCGAGTCTGTCACCGTTTATCTCTATGGAGCCACTGTCACCTCCTGGAAGCTCGCCAATGGCAAGGAACAGCTCTTCGTGAGCGAGAAGGCTAACCTAGATGGTTCCAAGCCTATCCGGGGTGGAATTCCTGTCGTATTCCCGGTATGTCCTCTTCGGCCGATCACCACTGAACAGCCAGCTTGCTCTCTAAATCTCAGCTCCTTCACGTATCCATTGAAAGGCAAACCAACTAACTCCTAATCTCATCAAACCAGGTCTTCGGTCCTCCCCCCTCCAACCACGCCACCTCTGCTCTCCCCCAACACGGCTTCGCCCGGAACTCGAACTGGGAATTCCTCGGCAAATCCTCGTCCGAAGCCTTCGGCCGTGACCGGAAAGAAGGCGAAGACGCCGTGAAGTTGGACTTTGGACTGTCACATCCCATGCTGAGTGAGGAGTTCCAGAAGGCCTGGCCGTATAAGTTTGGACTGGTGTATAGCGTGACTTTGACGAAGGGAAGCTTGGAGACTTCTTTGCAGGTGCAGAACCAGGGCGAGCAGAACTTCGATTTCCAGGTTTTGATGCATACGTATTTGAGTGTTGAGGTATGTCACGGCCCAATTGCAGGGCTGGAGTCAGGCTAACGAGGCATGTAGGACATCACGAACGTCCGGGTCAAGAACCTCCAGCAAAAAGAATACTTGGACAAGACACAGGGCGGTGCAGCTATCACGGAGACTTCGGAGGCAGTGGAGATCAACAAGGAAACGGACCGGGTGTACAAGGCGTTGGATCCGAAGGTGCCAATTATCGTGTCCACGGCGTCGGATGATCAGCCTCTGTTCTCCATCACAAGGGAGGCATTGACGGATGTGGTTGTGTGGAACCCCTGGATCGAGAAGGCCAAGGGCATGGCGGACTTCGGGCCTGACGAGGCATACAAGAACATGCTTTGTGTCGAGGCCGGTTCCGTTGCTGGCTGGCAGACCCTGGAGGCGGGTGAATCCTGGGAAGGTGGACAAACTATCCGGCCCCGGTTGTAACTGGGATAATAGGATATGCTTAACTTTACGTGAATAATCATGCAGTGACGATGGATGCCTCAGCTGAGATTGAAATAGAATTTTACCCTAGTATTGTGTATTGCGTACTCCGCGTACGTTTAGTATTGTATGATGTCCTCTCTACCAGGACCTGCCCTTCCCCCATCTTCCCCAAGCAAGGCCACTCACCACCCCAATTGCCCAAAGCAACATACGAACTAAACCGACCCTCTAACAACCGCCGCCTCGGGCACCGAAACCGAAACCACCCTTGCACTCGCCCTCTGCGATTGCCTCCTCCAAGGCCAACTCCTCCTATCCCCTCCACTCCCACTATCCCCCTTCTTCACCCCACACAAAGCCCTCTTACACAACGGACAAAACGCATTCTTCTTCGTGACCCACGGATCCAAACACACCGTATGGAAGATATGTCTGCACGGTAGGGATCGGATGTCGTCATCGTCAGCGAACTGGTCTATGCATATTGCGCATGTGCGGTGGTTGTCTCCGCTTGTATCTGTATCTTCTGTGTCGTTGTCTCTTTCTTGGTTGTTGCTGATGTTGGTGTTGGTGTTGATGTTGACGTTGTCTGGTGATTCACCGGAAGTATTATCCCCAGACGTGGATCTCACTTGCGCTATCGCACCCGATGATTGATCCAGCTGTCTTTGCTGCTGCTGCTGATTCTGCCTCCCAGCCAACCAGTCCTTGTACTTCACCTGCGGATAAAGTACATCGATGAGCTGCTGCGAGATTACAATCCGGGGATTACGTTGTCCCCCCGCCGCCGCCGCCGCCATTTCGGCGTCCGAGTAGGGGTATGTAGGGCCGTAGAGGCGACGGCGGCGACGGCGACGGCGGGTACCGAGGATGAGCCTGTATTTTATCTTAATTAAATAAAATGTCCTTCGTTGTATGGAGGGGGTTTGTGGTATTTTAATCTGGTAGAAATGAAAAGACATACATACCATGTTACAAAGAGCAGAAACGTAACGAGCACTGGAGCTAGATAGCCTACTAATGCTAGAGAGGATACTTGGACCATGGTGTAGTGTTGTTGCGAGAGTCTTCTTTGTTAGTAACCCAGCTTTTTTATGAATAAATAAGGTAGGTAGGTAGGGACATACTCACACAGATTACCTATCTATCTATCTATCCAGATAGGTAGACAGTATGATCCCGATAAAGTAAGAGCCGAGTGAGTACTAGTAAGTACACTATATCGCAGTCATAGACCCCGCGATAAGAAAACAAAAATCAAAGTGTTATGTTGGAAGGTTAGTTAGTTAGTGAATACACCACCACTTGCTATCGGGTCTCTTTTCCTCGTTTCTTCGGGACCATGACGCCAGTCTGACTGACGACTTTTGAGTCTTTGATTCAGGGTTGGGTCATTAGTGTGGTCATGCTGAGGATAGAGACTCAGTTCTGATGGATAGATGAAGTAGGTAAGTTAGTATTTAGCTGACTGATGTGCTCGGGTTTTAGGGGACCCCTGGGAGATTTGGGGCGCAACTGACGCCCCGGAGGATAAGCATGGTTGGTTGGTCGGTTGGTAAAGTAGTAGTAAGCCTCCTGATGGGTGTGGCAGTGAGGATGAGATGACGGACTGACTCCTCCTGTCAGCGGCCAAGGATTCCGCGAATTAATCATCTTGAACCACTACTAACTAGTTGTAGAAACTAGTAGTGGCTAGTGATTGGGATTAGAATGTAGTTTATGGTATGCTGGTATTACAGTCGCATTCTCCAGTCTTAAAAGCGTGATGAGTACATTCAGCTTCCGCATCGTCCATCTTATAATAGAACATAAGACCGAAAGAATAATGGCAAATCAAGCACGGGATCATAAACAAATGAGAACTTCTTTTGATGGCCATGGTCACAAAATAAAACAGTCAGACGGGCAGACAAAAAAAAAGCAAGGAGTATAAGATATTGATACTAGGATATAGACAAAAGTACAACGCCATCGCTATGCAAAATCCATTCAACCGGTGTTTCTCCTCAATGCCTCATGCGTTTCCACCCGGATATCAAATAGTAAATCGTCAATTTCCTTCAGCGAGTTTCGATCCAACTTGGCCAGTTTCACATCGCTCAAGACTTTGCGGAGGGAGTCTGTGATACCCACCTCCGAGATCTCTGGCTCCTGACCTTCGGTCTGAGTCGTGCGGGATACTGCTCGCGTCTTTTCCGTCACCTCCAGATTCTTCTCTTCAGATGGCACCTTCGTCTCAGGGATGGGTTCGGTCACTGTGGGCGCGTCTTCCATTGGCACGTCATCAGGTGCCGTTTGCTGGGTCTCTGGCACCGGCTCATCCATCGGTTCGTCGACCTGAGCTTCTGTTGGAGGCTGCACTGAGCTATCCGGTTCTGGGAGTTGCTCAGCTGGTTTATCTTCAACAGTGATCTTGGACTCCTTTTCATCCTTGACAGGTTGGTCCACCGCATCTTTAGTAGGAGTCTCGTCGTGATGGGTCTCGACATCTTCTCTAAGTTGAGGCTCTTCTGGTATGCTGTCTTTGGCTTTGTCCTTGGTCGCCTTGCGAGAACGACTAGGTCGTGGTGACCTCTTCGGAAGCGGGCTCTCCTCGGGAATGGCTGGCGCCGCCTGTCCGCTGAGACGAGAGGATCTGCGTTTTTGAGAGCTGTCTTGGGTATCCAGGGCCTTGGTCTTCCCGCTATCAGTACTAGCTGCTTGCTCGGCGGGCTTGCTCGTGCTAGTCATATCACTCTTAGACTCGGTCTTCCGTCGCTTCGGCGCCGATTCGGCAGGGGATGATTCGACCTCCTGCGACACGGTCATCGGTCTCTTAGACCGAGTAGCACGACCGCCTTCGATATCTGCGACAGAAGGCGTCTTTGTGAGTCTTGAAGAACGACGTCGCTCTTTGCCTGAAGGTGTAGATTGCTCTGCCTCGCGTTTCCGTTTCTTATTCGCACCCTGCTCCGAAGCTGTTGCAGCATGTTCTATACTCGCCGTGTCGTCCAGATCTACAGCGAGTTCTAGATCCTGCTCCAACTGAGACGCAACCTGGGTCTCCATGTCGTCGCTGCATGAGTCCGCTATGTAGTCGTAGCCGTCTATTTGTTGTTTTTCGTTGTCCTTCGGTTGCTCAGCACTGACCTGGTGCTCTGGCTCGTTGACAGGCTCCGCGGTAGCACCAGAATCCGTAATAGGGTCTTGGGAAAGCCCGGAGTCACGAGAGCCATTCTTCGACGAATCCTTCGATTGCCTGTCTTCAGTGGAGAGACTTTTGTCTTCTGGCAATTTGCCTGTCGATGAACGGAGACGCTTTGTCAGTGGTTCCTCTGAATCAACTGCCATGCTTTCATCAGTCGCTTCCGGTTGACTGGACTGAGCGTTCATTGCCTTCTTCTGCCTTGACGAACGCCGGGCCCTCCTCTTCGATCTTCTGCTCCTGCTCGACGTAGTGTTCCCTGATCCTGGTGTGTTCATGTTTCCTGTGTTACTTCGAGGTTCAGGACTGGTCGATTTCAGCTTTGGAGGGGAGGATTGAAGTTCGTTTTCTAGGACAGACTCTTCTGCTGCTGGAGTCGATAGCGACTGAGGTATTTCGGGTTCGCTCAATTGCGTTCGGCTTCGAGTACCCGGCGTAGGGGAAGAACCGAGAAACCCGTACTCATTGTCAGTGGCGACAGGTGGTAGGGTCGGGGTTTGTGGTGTCCCGGCGTCGGCATCCGCGTTGCGCAGGTCGCGCAAGTGCGGGGGCGTCATGAAACCGAGTTCTCTTGGAGTATTCGTCGGAGGTGAAGACGAACGAAGGCTTTCAATGATCGAAAACAACTCGCTACGCTTCCTAGGATCTCCCGATCCCGTCGGGAGGGGCATCGAATGACCCGTGGCCACATCCGGATCAGAGTCATCATCAGTTTGGGATACTTGGCCCGCTGAATGTCCGGTCTGCTTCTCCGAAGACGTAGGCATGGCTTTACGCTCAGACCCTCCGGTTATAGGCGACGAGTTCAGCCCCAATGTGAATGGATCATCAAGTATGAAAGCAATGCGAGACTTGACCGATGTATCGACTGGAATGGCCTTTGCGTCTTGACGATCGGATTGTGCCTCGGACTAGAATTTCTTAGCAGGGCAGGCTGGAACTTTAATCAGAATACGTACCTGTATATTTTGCCGATGACCATGCGGCTGCTGAAGCTTCATCTGGACTTCAATATCATGTAGCGCGCGAGATATCGTCTCGGGGCAGGGCAAGGACTCTTGTGATCCAAACGAACAACGCCAGAAGTCAAGAAATCGTTTTGTTACAGAGGCATGTGTGGACTCAAGACCCGCACAGATTATAGGCTCGAACTTTTGTACACGGAAGGCGTCGTGAGGTTGTGCTGCTTGCAAGATGTTCAAGACGGCTGACGACAGCGCGCGACACTAATTCTAAGTTAGTACGTAACACAAGCCCCTTGCTTCGTACACTTACAGCAGTAAGGATTCTGCTTTCCACGCCACTCTCAGCGTTTATCTTGCGCTCCCCGTCTTTGAGATATAATGCAAGGGACTGCTGGAGGTGTGTGAGCATTGCTGTACGGAAAGTAGGTACACCCGATCCCAGTAGAGACGTCAGGCACTCGATGAAATCTGCAATGCCGTTTGGTTCGACAGGATCAAAGCTTTCGTACGACTGACGAAGAGTCTTATCCACGAGTTCGATCAGCTTGTAAGGGAAGGCCATTTCATGTGTTCCTTTTGCCGTCTCCGCTTCGTGGCCGTAAGGAATTGAGAGCGAGAGTTTCAAGAGTGATGCGGAGGGCTTGCAGGTATTCCGTGTCCCTTGTTCTATGATAGATGCGGCAAGAGGTTCCATGGCCATGGTGGAAATAGCCCGATCACCCTTTTCGGTTCTTACGACGCGGATAAGAGAATCAACAAGCGGATTCCAGGCTTCGAACACGTCGGAGAACTTCAAGCCGGCAGAAAGGATGTTAACAATGTTCTCATAGTCACGGCAAACTGAGCCGTCACGTTCGCGGGCTGTCTCCATAGGGAAAGAGGATAAAGAGCTTGCAGACAGCTGTGCCACAGACCTCCACACGGTTTCAGCTAGACTATCATCGCCAATATGAGCAGCCGCATCAAACACATGTATATCTGCACATTGGCTAAAGAATTCCAGACGTGAGCTCCTTGATAGCTTGTCACTGCAAGTAGCTTCCAGAACACGGGTAACGAGGCGCGAATATGACGTGGAAGGCCTCGAATGACCAGGTAGTTCACTGATAAATCGAAGAAAATGTAGGATGGGACTGTCTAGACTTGTATTCGCCTTTTGATGACGATGCGTAGGCGTAGTAGCAGCCTGAAAAGTCTCATCGGCTGTCTTGAGGAGTAATTTCTCGGTAAACCGTGCGCTACCAAGACTGTAGATCATAGTGGTGGCAAGAAAGCTGAACCGGTCATAGAAGGCATCCGTTGAGTCTTTCTCGATAGCCGCATTGAGCGATGAGGGCCCGGCGTTCCAGAGGCGCTGAAGAAGGCCAAGCACGTGTGCTACAGCTTGCATCGATTCTGGCGTGGGCGTAATCTCTTTGCTCGACGCATGTGACAAGGCCTTGGACAAGCCGATCCAGGCTGTAGCAATATTCGACCGCTCAATATCGGGATTCCAGACAGAAGACTTGAAGATCTCCTCAAAAACGCTCAAAACCGATGTTATCCTCGACCGAATCCACCTACTGTCAATGGATGGCAACTCTTCAGGGTCCAGCTTGTTGCTCTCGTTGACCTTGTTCTCCAACCAAACCTTCGCTTGGGGGCTCCAGAGCATATTGGATAGCACGTGGGCTACCCTGTCGCTGAGACTGGGTACAGACGAAAAAATGCTCGAAGCCGGTGAAGCGACATATTCTTCCCAGACGACATCAAGATGCTGAAAAGATGCCGAGGGACGGAAGGCGTAATAAAGAAGATTATAGTAGCTGCACAAGGCTAGCTGACTGGGTTGTTTGTCTTGCTTCTTCCGATCGAACTGAGAGACGATGGGCTTGCTCAGCATCCGCAATAAGGAAGGGCTCGTTGTGTCGCTGGGACTGACGACATAAACAAACCGATTCCAGCCAACGATGGCCTGCGCTTTGATTGCAGAATCACTGCAATTGAAGCATCTCTGCAGCACAAGGACCCATTCTTTGAAATGCTCCCACTGATCCACGTTGAACTTTTTGCTGCGCAGGAGTAGAATAATCACGCTCCATATTTGAGGTATGTGGACTCCGCAATCAGAAAGTGCCATCATGCGCGTCATTCGCTCACAAACTTCCGTCACAAGCTTCCTCCGCTCATCGAGAGGTCTGCTGAAGACCTCACGGACGCATTTCGACAAGGTTGGGTTTGGTCCGCACGCTATAGCGGTCTGAAAGCCCACCGAGATAGCCTTTATCCTGATATCTTTGACATGGTGTAGCAAGCCGGATATGAGATGATCCATCCACAGGGATGCATTTGAGACGAAGATCATCTTGGATTGATTGAGGACACGAAGATAGATGCTTAGACGCTGGGACACAATTGCGCTTCCAGTGACGCGATTAGTTAATTCATGGAGAACCGTCAAAATGCGTATTATTCGCGTGTTCGTCATGACCTTGGCGTTAAAGTTCTGGGTTGACAATACGGACAAGTAGTGAGTAACCACGGACTTTGGCATCTTCACATCTTGAAGACAGTTGACGGAATGATCGACAAGAAAGGTCTTGAAGTCATCTGACAGACGCGCAGAGATCTCACTATGCCAAACCAGTGCAACAGCCAACTTAAGGGCCTGTATTACAAGGTTGGTATGTAGCGGTCCGCCGGTTGTCAAGTCCCGGCTAACGTCCCGATGTATGAACTGAGTGATCAAGCCCAACCTCGCTATGATTTCTTGATCACCAGGCAGATTGTCATATGCTCTCAGGGCCCCGAAGAACTGCATGTAGGCGTCGAGCCTTGAACTGACAGCCTCTCCAGCGAGCTGTTGTAAGATCGACTCTAGAAGCATGGCGAAGGAAACGGGAGCTTGAGGTTCAGCAGACGGCGAATTGGTAGCAGAGTGAGATGTGGTCGGTTTGAGGATAGATTTTGTAGGTTTGCATTCGTTCGAGGGAGGCAGGGACTTGAGGTCAGATTTGGATTTTGCGGCGGAATTGGTAAACGAGGGAGGTTTGATGTATCTTGTCCATGGTGAGAAGTTCACGCGCTTTGATTGTCGACTTGACGGCGCACCGGTTGAGCCATTGACGGAAAAGGGAGAGTCGCGAGGCGTGTGTACAACAACCGGAGAATCTTCAGTTCGATCATTTTCAGACAGCATACGAGATGATGTCCTAGGTGGAGTTGGCGGACGAGCAGACAGAGGACCGAGAACCTCCACCATATTTCACAGAATCGGACGACGAAAAGAACGGGGACAGGAATGAAAGAAGGAGAAGGAACATCGCGATACAGCCTAGCTAGAAACCACGCTGTCCATGACCCAGACCGAAGCTGTCGACAAGCATGAGCAAGGATCAAAGCCCTGGTGAAAGTAGGATAGCCGTGCCAGTTTGATCCTACCGGGGCCGCGCCAAGCCACGCAACTCAAAAAGACGCGCCTGTGGCTGAGCCACGCGTAAAGTGGCAGCGCCGCGTTTCATGCCCAAGGCAGTAAGGCACTCAGGCACCACGGAGAAGGCTTCGGAGATGAACCGGAGTTGCCCTCCCCCCAATTCTTTAGTTATTATCTTCAATTTTCTCGTTTCCCCCATTCACGTTGGTTGTTTTCGAACCCAGAACGAGTTGTCAATGTAAGTTTCGTCTACTTAACTACTAACCACAGACTGCATGCATTGATTTATGTCCGTCTCGTCAACCTTATGTCTAATACCATTGCTGCATGTACAGACTGCGGAGATACTGTGCAGCCGCTTAGTGCTATCCGGTGGGGTTCTGCTTTATTGCGCTGCGGATCTCTATTCATCAGCGCAACATTAGCTCCTATCCTTATCCGTTGCGCTGCTTCCAGCACCGGAATTCACTACAGCCCATCGGCGAAGAAAGATACTCCAGATCATCCCATAACCTCTGGACCGGGTTTCGCCTCTCCAACGACTCTGTCTTTAATCGCGGAGACCCGCTTTCGCTGCAACTTGATCAAGCCCAAGCTAAGTGGGACTTACTGGACAGACTAGTAGGGGTTCACCGCGCCCCGTAAGACGGCTATTGCAAGCCAGCAGTTACCCCTTGACACACTTCACTTCCGGCGCATAGAATTGCGCTAAGCAAAAGTTGACCATGGATTTCAGGCCGCTCCAAGGCCCAGGTATGTACAAGCCACTTCATTGTATAGACCTCAATTAACAAGCGACTAGAGAAGCTGCAGCGAGTCACTAAACTACTGGGCTCTCTCAAAACGGACCTCGAGGCGAAGTCTCTCACTTCGAAGGGTAAGTACACAGGGAATGTAAAATGTACCGGTCTGACCTCGTCACCTGCGTGCCTTAGAACGCGTGCAGACACTCCTGGAGTTGAGGCAGCACGGGACCAACCCCAGCCATGCTCATCCTATCTACTCTAAAGAGGGGATAGAATTATTAGCCAGATATGGTGTTGATGGGGATACCCCGGATGTGCGTCGTGCCGCTCTACGCTGCGTCGCAAACGCTCTCCTCTTAGATGGATCGATGCGCCAGCTGTTCGTAGACACAGGCTACGGAGGTAAATTGGCTGAGAGGCTCAAGGTATGCCCATTCACTATGTCAACCAGCTCTTGCAGAAGTTGACCTTCATTCAGTGTGATTCCTCGGAGGATGAGATGGTGATCAGTCGGATCTTGTTCCTATCTACCTATGACACCACAATGGACTTTGAAAACCTCATCAGACATCACTCTCTGGGTGAAAATGTCAACTACGTAAGCTAATGCGTGTCTTGCCAAAACCGGAATATGATGGAAGCTGACTGATTTCAGCAAATCGTCCGACACGCCAAACAATTCCCCAAATCTGGCAAAAAGTCTCTGTCTCAGATGGACGAGTTGGCCCTTACTGATACCTTGAAGCTCATTTTCAATGTTTCAAAGATATATTCTGATTTGGCTGCGACATTCTCGGCTTCGATCCCTCACATCTTTAAGATGATCAACCGCATCGATATCCCCCCAAAGCCTCTGGAAGGCCTCCTCAGCTATCTTCTTAACTGCTTGTCCACGCTTGATCTGGAAAATAAGAAGGGCAAAGTCTTCGAGAGTAGCCCCCTTTTCCCGACCTTCAATCAGAACTGCAATGTCGACAAGCTGATCAACATACTGGATCAAGCTGTGTCCGCATATGGCCCTGACGAGCTGGAGACCAAGGCTATACCCCTGTTCCATACGCTCGTGGTCGTTCATGAAATGGCTCCAGACGGCCCTCGCAAATATATGCAATGGCTTCTTCTGCCCGAGGACAACGATAGAAGCCGCCCGATTGGACAATCAGACACCCTCTCATCGAAGTTGCTCAATCTGTCGACCACGCCCTATCCTAATCTGAAGACTGCTATTTCTGAGCTTATGTTTGTGCTCTCCGGAAAAGACGCTGAAAATCTGACAAAGAACATCGGATATGGGTTCGCCGCAGGACTACTAGCTTCTCGCGGCATGGAAATCCCTAAGACGGCAGGCGAAGCATTCGCAACCAACCCGAACGGGTTTGATCCAGAGGTCAATCCCATTACCGGCCAGAAGTGGGCTGCAGAGAAGAAGGACGATGGTCCTCCTATGACCAAAGAGGAGAAAGAAAGAGAGGCGGAGAGGTTATTTGTGCTTTTTGAGCGGTAAGCCTCACCCTTTGTCTACCTGCACTAATAAATGCTGAGTATCGCAACAGAGCCAGAGCGAACGGCATTCTTCAGGTGGAGAATCCTGTCACGCGCGCCCTCCATGAAGGACGTTTCGAAGAGTTGCCTGACTCCGACGACAGTGATTAGGCATAATGCTCTTCTTCATTTCCTTACATTGCTTCCCTGTACCATAGTTTAATCTCTGTCCGCCATCGATGAGAGATTCTCTTTTCCTTGTTCGATCCCGATGAATCCTAACGCTCTGAAATCAATACGTCAACCTTACTTGGATTGAAGACTGTTCGTCAGAGAGCATTAAGTGGCGTTCGCGTTTGTCCGCCATTTCTGGATCTTTCCAGTATGATCTAGCATCGCTGTGGATTGCTATGCAATTAATAAGCGGCAGAGGCAGATTAGTTAGTTAGCCGGACATGGCATTTCTCAGACAGCGAGCAATCTAGATAGCAAACTGAATAGATTCGCAGGCCGAAATATAGAATCTAAATTGTAATTATTCATGCCAGTAACGTAGATGAACTAGAGCGTACATCGTCCGGACTCTTAAATTCCTGGTGGTGTTTTTAAGATCTGTAAATGACGTACGGCCCAATCGCGAGCGGCGGGGTTGAAGGGCGGCGGCGCAAAAATCTCTCCGCCTGCGGGAAAAAGAAGTCGGGCGCGGGGCAACTCACTTTTCGATTTCTTTTCGACTACCCTGACTGTTAGCCAGCGAATAGAACATATTTCCTACCTTTACACTCTTCTTTTGATATTGTCTGCTTCTTGTGTAATTAATTATCGCCCACACAACCGCCAAGATGTCGAAGCCTTTTGATCCAGAGACGGCGGAGAACTTTGAGGATGTATGTCACTTTTGCGCCTAGACTGCCTATTCAGATTTCCGACCGAGAATGCTGACATTTGGTGCAGATGGAGAAGCAGTTTGCCGTTAAGGGTTGGTCCGGACATCCCTTATTCGAACTCGTCCCCTGACTCACGATTATGCAGCCGTGGAACATCTGATGACATATTGGTCGATTCTGGAGAAGGTCCCCGGCTCGAAACTCCGCCTGACCAAGATGGACGATGAGATCCTCGAGTCTTTCCAGAAGGAATTCCCCGACTTCGACCCTGCCGAGACGCTCGATGAGGACAAGATGAAGAGCAAGGAGGGCAAGGAGAAGTGGCGTAACTGGATCAACCAGTACGAGAAGATTATCGAGGACTTCAACTTCGGTACCATGCTGCGTGCTAGCCCCAAGGTGGAATATGACAGAGATACCACGATCTTCGGTAAGTGATACATGGCTGTGTGGCTTGTCTGGGGGGTGGAACGCTAGCTAACAGAAGGACAGCCATGCGTATGCAGTTTTACGCCGTCGAGATCGCTAGGTGAGTTCTTCCGCTTCAATAACCCTGGAAACAATTGGATACTCATACATGGATCAGAAACCGTGCTGGCCTCAACGACTGGATCTACGAGCGCGCGCAGAAGGCCAACAAATAAATGTGAAGCTGCGCTTCTTATCTGGGCCGTGCAGGAACGGCGGCTAGACGGAATGGTTCATCCGGGCCTTTACCGTCCTTGCTTTGCTAGCGTCAAGAGACTATGCAGTGACTCAAGTCCTTGAGTTCGACAGCCATCATTTATTACCATGGCCCATAGGTCTCATCCGGGTGGTCCAGCATAGCGTATATGACCCTATAAAAGAGTGGGGATAGCCCCTCGACAGGGCGCCCTAGGGTGGTACTACCGGAGTGGATACCTGTACATATAACGAGCTGAATTGATGCTTTGGAATGCAGTGATGGATAGAAAGACGTGTGGTTGACCCACTAAATATTTCCGCTGTACCCGAGAACAATGGCAACGCAACCCATTGTTCTTATCATCTACAATATGCCCGCATATGGAAAGTGCTTGATATCCGGCCAGACGGGCTAATATGAAAACGAACGTAGCTCTTTGTTCTGATGAATATGCTAAGAGTGCTTACACGCCTGTTTGTTGGGTGTTCATCATTCGCTTATGTTTTACTATATGACGCCCTAGCACCTGATACTTACCTACCATCATTATGTCTTCTTACATGACACCTAAATACTGGAGTCGAAGGCCAAATGCTCAGTTGAAGATCTTTCGCCCTGATCAGCGGGTATAGTTCATCATGGCAGCCTTCCTTGCTGGCGCCAGGCGCTTCATACATCGAAAACCAAGGTGGATGTCGCTGTTCAGCTTCACGACGACGAAACATCTTCCCGTGCTCATAGGAGGATTTACATTTACGGCCATCTCTAGTCTTTCGGTTCCCATATTCTCCGTAGTCTTGGGCGAAATCTTCAATACGTTCACTCTCTTCGGGGGAGGAAAGGTTGCAAAACAGGACCTGACTCCACAGATCAGCAAGTATGCCGTCCAGCTGGTTGGACTTGGAGCAATCAATTGGGTTTGCAATAGTATCTATTTCATTCTATTTGTGTTATTCGGAGAATTTCAGGTTGCGAATGCTCGCACCAAGCTCTTCGAAAGGCTTTTACAGAAGAGCCAGGAATGGTTCGAAACGCAGCCGGATGGCACGAGGGTCTTTCTATCTTCTCTCCAGGGGTATGTCGCACTTTTGTGTGCCACTATCCTAGCTGACACGATCTTTCAGGCAAATCGAAGACCTACAGAAAGCAACATCGCAGCCTCTCGGCCTCGCTTTGCAGTACAGTTTTCGAGCCATTTTCTCTCTAGCCCTAGCATTCTTCACCTCCTGGAACCTTACTCTGGTCACTTTGGCGGGAATCCCCTTCCTCTCAGCCGCTCTCTCCTTCCTATCCACCAAGACGAACTCGTGTATGGAGGCACAGAAGACAGAGCTGGGTCATCTATCACTGATAGTCGACAATGCTACTTCATCAATCGACAGCGTCAAGTCATTTAACGGGCAAGATACCGAGATCCGAAACTTCGTGAGCAGCGTTGACAATGCCGCTATACATTATCTCAAACGCGCGCGATTAACCTCTCTACAAATATCGATATTGCGACTGATGACTTTCGGAATGTTCGTGCAGGGCTTTTGGTATGGGAGTTCTTTGGCTACGTCCGGTGAGATTTCAGCAGGAGAAGTGCTCAGGACATTCTGGGCTTGCTTAGCAGCTGCCCAGTCAATGGAATTCCTCATGCCACAAATTGTCGTCCTAGCAAAAGGAAAGGATGCAGCCATTTCTCTGATCCACACTTTGAGCTCAGAGTCAGAGGATACTGTTCGAGGGGAGGGGAGGAGTTCCGTTTATCCGAAGTTTTGCGAAGGCGATATCGAGGTCAGCAATGTAAGTGTGATGATACCTGTGGAATAGCTGCGTGGTACATTGAACTCATAATGTGTCTATCAGGTCTCCTTTGCTTACCCAGCTCAACCGGACAGACCGGTTTTGAAGTCGACAAGCTTCTTCTTTCCCGCCGGAGAGACGACCTTCGTTATTGGCAGAAGTGGATCTGGAAAGAGTACGCTTGGACAACTGCTCACACGCTTCTATCTACCAGTGTCCGGAGAGATTCTGATAGACGGGGCCCCCATCCAATCTTTGAGCATCGACTGGATAAGGAACAATATTACTCTGCTGGAGCAGCGAAGCGTTTTGTTCAACGAATCTATCTTCATGAATATTGCCTTTGGTAGTCGCAACTACGAAGGACTCAGCAAGGTTGATGTACGTGAATGTATTGATCTTGCAAGGTTACAAAGCACAATAGACGATCTACCTAAGGGAATCGACACATGTGTCGGTCATGGTGGTGATTTTCTCAGTGGTGGTCAAAAGCAAAGGGTGGCGATTGCGAGGGCACGGTTAAGGGATACGCCTATATTGATAATGGATGAGCCCACAAGTGCCCTTGATGCCACAAATCGCGTGGAAATAACGAAAGCTATCAGGGAATGGCGTCGAGGGAAAACAACTATCATCATCACGCATGATATGTCGCAGATCATGGATCATGACTTCGCCTACGTTATGGACCAAGGCTCTGTTATTCAAGCTGGCTACAGACATGAACTGGAGGAGAGCAATACGTGTTTTGCTACTTCCGACAAACTCCATCATGAGGAAAGTGAGCATGGTGTTGTCCACAGTTCTTCTGGTCGATGCTCCAGTGTTTCTTCAAGATCCTCAATTGAAAGTACACGCGGCCCAAGCCCTGATTCGTTTTCTCGACACAGCGAGCTTGCACAGCATTCTTATGCTATTCACGGCTACAAAAGAAGCATACAGAGTATTCGCCAATCTGCAGACTCTCGAGGGTTCAGTTCACGCCGTGAGTCGATTGGGATGCAGATGTACGAGCTCAATACCGTCCACGTCGATGATACGAACTTCCAGTCCAACCGGTTTAGACAGAGTATACTTCCTGTGAATGATGTTGTCAATGAGATCAACAGGGCCAGATCGAAGCACCGAAGCAAGCGGCCATACAAGAATGCAGCACGCCTCGCGCCGCAAAAAAGCATGCCATTGGGGCGGATCATGCTGACCATACTCCCTAACCTGACTCGAGGCCAAAAACTGCTTCTTTTGCTTGGATGTTTCAGCACCTTGGGCCATGCGATGGCTACTCCGCTATTTTCTTATTGCCTGTCGAAGCTCCTTGAGACGTTTTACAACAAGCAAGCCAAGGCCTCGACATGGTCACTGATAGTTCTAGGGATAGCCGTAGGTGACGGCGTTATATCATTTCTGATGCATTATCTTCTGGAGCTATGTGGCCAGGCGTGGGTCGATCGTCTCCGCAAAAAAGGTTTCCATCATATACTTGACCAGCCGCGAAAGTGGTTTGAAGAAGAAGGAAATGAACCTTCCCAACTCACCTCGTCCCTCAACCACAGTGCCGAGGAGATGCGAAACTTGGTCGGTCATTTTGGCGGTTATGTCCTAGTGGCTACTTCAGTCACCGTGGTCGCTATTATATGGTGTATGGCTGTTTGTTGGAAACTGACCCTTGTGGCAGTGGCTTGCGGACCAGTCATCTATGCCATCACCAGAGGGCTCGAGAAAACCACTGGAATATGGGAACGACGTTGTACCGGGGTCAAAACGACAGCGTCGGAGATATTCATCGAGACGTTCTCGCAGATCCGCACCGTCCGCACATTGACACTTGAGCCTTACTTCCACAAGAAGCATATGAAGGCCGCGGCACTGTGTATGGTCCTTGGAGTGAAGAAGGCTGTTTATACCGGCTTTCTCTTTGGATTGGTAGAGTCCATGATCATATTCGTCAGCAGTAAGCAACCTATTTACAATCTTGATTTCACAGAGCTAACCTGCGCAGGCCTAATCTTCTACTACGGAGCCGTTCTCGTATCATCGCTCGAGTTCACGGTCACCAGCCTCATGACTGTCTTCTCTGTCCTTCTCTTCAGCATCGGATACGCAAGCACAGTACTATCATGGAGTGAGCCACCTACCCGACAACGACTGTCCCCAGCCCTTGCTAACACCCCCCAGTCCCCCAGATCAGCGTTTCCCACATAATGGCCAACCAAGTCCTACGCCTCGCACACCTCCCATGCGGCGCATCCCACGAACACCAGGGCACTCTCAAAGTCACCACAATCGCTCCAGTGAAGATCACCAACCTAAACTTCCGCTATCCATCCCGCCCAGACGCACACGTCCTACGCGACGTATGCATCACCATCCCTCGAAACCAAAGCACAGCAATCGTAGGCCGATCAGGCTCAGGCAAATCCACAATAGCATCGTTGCTCCTGAACCTCTACGAAGCCCCCACCACCACCTCCAGAATATCCCTAAACGGAATCGACCTCCAACGCATCCACACCCCAACCCTCCGCTCCCTCATTACCATCGTCTCCCAACGACCCACCATCTTCCCCGGCACAGTAGCAGACAACATCAGCTACGGACTCGAAGACGACTCCCCACTCCGCACAATATTCCACATCCGCGCCGCAGCAGAAGCAGCCGGGATCGACGACTTCATCACATCCCTGCCCAAGGGCTACTTCACCATGATAGGCGACGGCGGGGCCGGTATGTCGGGGGGACAGGCGCAACGGCTGGTGATTGCTCGGGCGCTGGTGCGACAGCCACAGCTTCTTATCCTGGATGAAGCCACGTCCAGCCTTGATCCTAATAACGCTAAAATCATTCGACGGACCGTGCAGAGGTTGGTCGCGACGCGGCTGGGCCTTACTGTCCTGATCATTACGCATGCAAGGGATATGATTAAGATTGCGGATAATGTTATTGTGATTGACAAGGGTCGTGTGGTGGAAGCGGGGAAGTATAAGGTGCTTGCTCGGCAGCAGGGTGGGAAATTAAGGGCTTTGATTGAGGAGGGGGATTCTGAGGGGGATGAAACGGGGGTATGAAAGGGAAAAGGAAGAGAATATGAATAAACAAACACCCATCCACACAATAGCTGATGCAGAACAAATCAATAAGACACCTTCGCAAACTGCTTCTGAAACCACGCAATCGCCTGATCCTCCGCCTCCTCAGCCTGCGCCCTCACATCCTTAACCATCACATCCGCACGCACACAAAACCCATGTCCAGCCCCGTAGTAGACCTTCACCTCCCCCACATCCCTCTCTCCGACGGCTTTCTCAATCTGCTTGATCTGCGGCATTTTCACCGCAATATCCAGTTCCGCCATCGCAAAGCTCACAGGGATCTTGATCTTCTCGATATCCGCGGGGATCTTCAGATTGCTGGGATGGCCGGTGAACCCGGCATCGATTAGGGGTTTGCCATCTACTTTGTCTTCTTCTTTGTCGTGCGCGAGGTACACGGTGTGTTGCCCGCCCCAGCAGAACCCTGCTGCTGCGATGGGGAGGTTGGCGCCTTCGTTGCGCCGTACGGCGGTGAAGAATGTCTTGACGGTGGGCCAGGAGATGGTGAATTTGGTGTGGTAGACGAAGGGGATCATGGCGTACATGGCGCAGGCGATGTGGTATCTGCATCGCGTGAGATTGCACTATGGTAGTTGTGATAGGTATAGGTGTGTGTGAGACTTACGGTTTCGTAATCCAGTCCATGATGGATGAGGTCTTCATTATTGCGGATAGGGTGTTTAGAGTCCAGACTGGGGCGGCGTGTCCTGGTTAATTGATATGTATAGATTAGTCTCATAGTTTCGTTATCTCCACATGAGCCTCGATGATCAGGAGTAAACATACCATTCATGAATTCAGGCAAATACACCTTATACCCTCCCTTATCGGCATAATGATCGGCCAGAATACGATTATTGACAAACTCCCACCCAAACGCATCCGGAATAATGATGATGATCCCCTTGATGGGGGATTCTGTGGACGTCGGCTCCGTCACATATGCATTCAGGCCATGCAAGGTGGTGACTGTTCCTCTGGGCGTAGCGTCCTCGTGCACGTGGCCGCTGAAGCAGTCGGGACAGGACATGATGATGATATATATATCTATATGACGTAGCGGTAGTTGAGGTATGTGTTAAGTTCTGCTATGGTCTTTCTCAATATGAAGCGGATAGTGTTGAGTAGGTTGATAGCTAGGATCGACCTGCCAAAAAGGATAAGCTTTAGGTAGAGCGGTGAACTGGTTGCTTATGTGTTGCTGTCAGTTGATGTGGGAAGGTAGAGTTCGAGGTTCCATGGCATGGCGTAGTGGGTTTAGCCAGGCAGGTTCGGGATTGCCGGAGGTAACATTGGTTAAGTCCGGGATAGTGAGTGGGATGGACAAGTGGATATGGTTGGGTCAGGGTTTTAACTCCGACGTTGAATTACTATGATTGAGCACTGCGTGGAATGGAGGCCTGATTGAAAGAGGGAAGGAGCTTGCGTAATATGGATGAAGGTTTGTCTGTGCATGTTGTCCTTGGGATGATCCTTGACTTGGTGTAGTTTGTACGCTCCGAGACTCAATGGCTGGTGCGGGATGAGATGGGATTGGATGGAAAGCTGGGTAGCTTGGGTATTACTAGTAGTAAGTAGTTGCTAGCTGGACGCCTGAGCGGATATTGTAAGTTTCTAAAAAGGGTTTACGGATCGGTAGGATTTTAAACGGCGCTTTCATAGGCAGGATGATTGATGCGCATGCTGCTTTGTTATTTGTCTACAAATTGTTAAGCAGATGTGCAGGTATACAAGACTAGTTTATAAGAAATGTCTCTAGATGTCATGCTGGAGAATGTCGTTCTCAACTCCTGTCTGAGTCTTCGTCGTACGCCTCCTTGCTAGAAACCCTTGAATTCGCGGTACGGCTCACATTCCTTGGAATTGGCATGATTGAAAGAGATGATTCTGGATCATCAGTGCAAAACAGCGGTTGTGAAAAGACCATATGGGCTGAAGAGAGCCAAATTAAGGTATCAAAAGGCCCTGCCGTCAACATTTTATCCACGATGTCTGATAGTAAGGGGGGGATTTGCTTCAATGTCGTCTTTACTTTCTCTTCGGTCTTTAGGGCATTCATGAATTATCTCCGAACTTGTGGTACTCAGATGGCCCTAGCTGATCGACGCCCAAACTTTTTAGCCGATGAAAGGCTCTAATCATCTTTTTTTTAGCCGATGAAAGGGTCTAATCATCTCAATCTGCGAATAGCCGGCCCACTCTTAAGTCCACCGGACAAGTAATTTTCCAGCCATCAACAATGGACGTGCTATTCGGATATGTGTCAGTTAGGAAGGGAACAAAAGGCCCTCGACCAAGTTCTCGCTTGAAAATAATGGATATTGTTCTCATCGCAAAGAGTGAGTATAGTTGAAACACAGAGTCCCAAGGTTATTCCATTGCATTTGGTTGAAATTGGAAGCCTATACCATGGAATGTGAAAACGTCTGAACCATATGAGCCAACAGTTAAATATCTATAATCACGATGCACGCCACTCGGTATTCGTTCATCCTCAAGCCGGTGAGTTTCAATGGGAAGCGGCCAATTTGCTAGAACTCGATACCCTCTGACCGACCTGTCGAGGAGCCAAGGGTATCAGATATATCCGGAGATGGAACGTCAAGACAGTACTCACGAAGCCAATTTCGGTTCTGCATCGCATCTAGCCTTCTCACCTTCGTTACCCGGCATAATCCTCATCAATTCTGTATGGAAAGTCAAAGATTCAGGGAATTGCACTGAGTGTTGGCAGTGCCGGGATACAAACGTTGGAACTACCATGTAACTAATTTTCAGCGTCTAACATCTGACAGACATCCGAACAACTGAAGTAGAATGGGACAACGTCTTTGATCCAGCTTGGTGAGCATTGAAATAAGCAAAGAAAATATTCTTCTGCTCATAGTAAGACAGTTGAAGAATGTTACGATCCTCCTTAGTGTAAGGATAGGTGGTTTCTCACTGAAGAAGCTGTCGTGTTTTTGGCATGATGGAAGATGGCAGGAAGTCTGTTGCCCTGAAAGCGAGATCGGCTATCTACATGAATATGGTGTAGATGAGGAGTGGGTCAGGATTCAGGAGGAGACTCCATGACTAGAAACTAACAACTAACAAGACCGACTAGTAAACCGGGAGGACTTTATTCCGATGGGGTACTCCGTAGTGACAGCCCCATCCCTGGTGGTGCTCAGTTGACCCTGGCGATGATAAGTGAGCTTAATTTTCCTTGGGCAATAAGCTGACCGAACTTAAAGCTAGATAGAAGAGGCATCTGGAGCAAATCAACTGAGAACCACCCCCAACGCTGATCCGACACCAACCAGAAAACCAGCAGTGAAGGAACGTGTTCTAAAAATGGCACGCGCCGGTGGTTCGGGAAGGAAAAACCGGCAGCTTCCATTTGTATTGCGCCTCTCGTTTCACAATGAGATCGTCTTTAATTAGTCGGGAGGGTGCGATGGAGTCCTTTTTAATTTGTATAGAGACTCTGTTGATGCGTAATTGTGTCGTGTCACGATCAAATTGACCTCCTGAGTCTGGAAGCATCCAAGGGTGGTACTACTACTTCTGATCAGTCACTTCTTTCTGGCTGGGGAAAAATCCATTCGCTATTTTATCTCCGCCAGCGACCCAGCCACTTTCTCGTCGGCATCAGCATCAGCATCAGCAATCAGTCAATCAGCGCCAATCTGTGGCCCTCCCCTCTTGCCATTCGACAACCACTTGCAGGCCTGTCTTGGAATGATGAGCATCGTCATTCTCTGACACCAGTTAGCCGCTGAAATCTTGCCGCGGTCCTGCTCGTATTCTCTCTCCTGGTCCTTTCTTCCCCCAGCCATCACAGCTTGAGGCCATGGATTCGCGCATGTCTCTTCTTCTCCATAATCTACCATCTCATTCATTATTGCTGGCTCTATCTCTAGCTATTCGTGTTGATTTCAGTCGCATTCTATGGTCTGATTCGTAATATCTTATCAAATCTTCCCCCAGGCCCCTTCTGCAGCCTTTATTGCTTTTTTCTTATTGATTCATACCACCGAGTACCAACCTTCACTGTTCATCCGCCAGTTCCGCAGCGTTCCCGGTTTAGGCTACCATTTCCAGTTCGCCTCCGATCCGGGTTTTTCAAACCTCTTTTCGCCTGCGATAATACCTCCTATCGTCGACTTTCTAGCTGGTCTGCATGCTTAGGGGCTATAGATCTGGGCTCATTCCCGATCGCCCGGAATCCACAGCATGCACATTCCAGTCAACTTCCGCCAATTTGACATCCGTCAGGATGGTCCGGGCAACATTATCAACAATCCCAACACCAACACCAATAACACCGATAATAGCCAGGATAAAAACCACACCTCCGACAATGATAACTCGAGCAGGAACAATATCATTATAATAGTGGGTGCTCTCTTTCTTCGGTTTCCCGCAGTCACTAATGCATCTTTTCCTCTAATTGCAGTGCGTCGCTTGCATCATCTTCGCCGTGGCATCCGCCTTAATGACCTATTTCGTCTTACGTACTCTCCGTCGCATGAACTGTCGCCCGAAATATCTGCCTGGAAAATTCCTAAAAGACAAGTGGAATAGGTGGAACGTGGGCGTCTCATACGGTCAGGTCCCGGGGTCGAATAATCCAAATGCGAACACCAGAGACACACCCGCCGAAGGAGGCTCGGAGATGCGAACTACCACCCCGGCCGCCAACAATACGAGCAATGTTCGACGGGATACATCGGTTCGCTCGGTCATCACCCTCCCCGCCTACTCGCCCAGTCCCAAGCCAACGGAGCAGGTCATTGCTCGAGAGGGGGAGCGAGCAGGCATGGATATGGTTGTCGAGTTCCCCGAAACAGCTGAAGAGGAGGAATCCCGCAGAGAAGAGCTGATGGAGTCTTTGTACCAAATCCGTTTGCAACGGCGAGAGGAGATAGCCGACCGTGAATGGCGGCGACAGGAGCGCCGGGAGGCTCGTGCTCGTGGAGACTATATTCGCCTTGAAGAACTCCGGCAGGAGAGTCGGGCCCGCGCGAGAAGCAGCGCGTCTGCCAATGGGAGTGGTTCCAACCTCAGCGCGGCTCTGGCGGAATCCCGTAACCGTGGTCGCGATAGGCGTATCTCCAGTGTCTCTTATGCAGAACTGGGCCACGTGCGGCATGACGGGTCGCGTATCAGAGCCACGTCGCCCGATTCGGACCGTCGTCCTCTTCTCACCGATGCATCAGCGCCCGATCGATCCTCAGGATCGATTCTCACGGGCGTCCATTCTCGAGGCGAGTCGTACTCGTCGTATCAGTCTGGGGTATCCAACGTCTCCGATGCGGATACTTTAACTCAGGTGCAATCGCATGCGGCGTCTGCTCATTCGGCTGATCGCCCGTCAATAACGGTCGACGAGGGTGATGTGGGTGAACTCAACATCCCGCCGCCCGAGTACGAGGTCTTAGAATGGGGAGAAGCGCCGCCTTATACGAGTCCAATCGCGGAGAGAGGCGAGCATGCACCGCAGCTTCGTGACTTGACTCCCTTGCCAACCATCCATATCGATGTGGCCAGCCCTATAAGCAACACTCCCACCACGCCCACGAATCCTCTGCGGGAAGAGGAGCCGGAAGAGCAACAAACCGCCGAACAAACTACCGAACAACCTGCCACCACCACTCAACCCATCACCGAAGAACGTGTCGAAGAACACCCTGCTTCTGAATCAGCCGAAACACACCTCTTGAGGGATGACACTCATACTCACCAGGCGTCTTGATTTCTCTATTATCGATATGCCTTTTCAACAATTAGAAGACCTGACACATCGGTCTACATTCACGGCTGCCATTCTTCGCCCCTTCCGACCTCGCATTCCAATACCCGTTACGAGCATCAGCGTTTACGACCCTACATACTAGCATATAGGTTGTTTTAATTACTCTCCGACCCTGTCAATAGTTTTCTTTCCCTTGGATATTCATGTTAGCCCGCAAGGCGTTTTATTGAAGGCGAATCTATGGACGGCTCTTCTTGTTTTTTCAGCCCACACCAGTCTGCCTGTACATTTAGAGAAGGGGGCACTGTGTTTATTGGATTTGTCTGCACATATTATACGCTCCAGCATATGATGGGAAATCTCAATGCAAAAGCTTCAATAACGACGTGCGAAAATGTTGTCTACAATAAGATTCATGAATTGGATAATCACTATCTCTGCAGCCAGGCTCGTGGCGTAAGCACTCGGAAGGCGGTCAGGGCTCTCCACGGGAGGGGGCCCACGGGCGTAAACAAACCAAAAGCAGCGGGCGAGTTCCACTTGGTCGAGGACGTAGTAACTTGTTGCCAGCCCAGCCTCCTCATTTATTTCCGTCGCATCATCCACTCGCGTCCCCATTGCGTTGTCTAGCCGGTTAGTCAGGTCTTACCGTGCAATTGTGCTGCTTCTGCGATAGTTTGGAAACCGCAGTGGCTTGTCTTCTCTAGGCAATTGCACTGTCTTCCTTCCTTTCAGTGGTGGTTTCCCTGGCTACTTCCTTTTCAAGCCGGGAGACTCGCGCTGCACCGACGCGCTACCAGCGACTCTCTAAACATTTGACTGTCCGCCGTGCAGCTTGCAGCCTCAGAACAACGAGCGGATTACTTCCAAGTCTACTTTGCTAATCCAGTCAGCTTAAACATTGAATACCTGTGAGGTACTCGAGTTTTCACTCCGTCAATAAACCATCCCATATAGGCGCGTCACAGCAGCCGGCAACATGTCGCGCGAAGCAACAACGAATAGCTTCGCGTCGTTTGGCTCCGACTTTGACCCTGAGCACGAGGCGCTCGCGTCCACCAAGGACCTCGGTCATGGTAGCCCCCGACTTCCGTCCATGCACACCAACGCCAGGAAGCGCCACGAGTACGAAGAAGAAGAGCCCGACTACGCTTTCAACACATCCACCTTCGAGCAATATCTTCCAGATTTCTCCCCGGTCGGCACATCCGAAGAAGAAGAAGAGGCCGACAACGACGACAGCATCTCCATTGAGGCCGGCCGAGGCCCGACGAAACCTCCCCGTCGATTGGACGACTCGAGAAACTCCTACATGAGCATCGAAAACAGCGTTCGCTCGTCGTCACCCGCCGTCAGACTCGATTATCCTACTTCTAATACCCCTCAGAAGTCTGCTCTGCGGAACCCGGCGAGAAGAGCGGTCAGCGATAGTCTCCGAAAGGATGCTCAAATCAGACGCGCCAGCCTTGCCCACAAGGAGAACGTTGATCCCCACACAGCAAAGTCGAACCGCAAAGAGCGACGAACGCTGTCAGACATGCACGCAAAGGTTCGCGATACTTATGAAGGATCCCTAATCGAGGATGAAAGGCCTCCGGTCATGGCCAACAGTACGCGTCCGACACGTTTTGGAAACCCCAACCTCTCTCATCAGATTGCCGACGCGGTGGAGAAGGCTTCTCAGGAGGCTTATGCTCGCGAGCTCCGTCGCGGAAAGTCCAGTAACAGCTCTCGCAATCTGGCCAACAATGCAGGTGATACGGCTACTCAGCAGTCATTCCTACTACCGGATCTTCCCAACTTGTCAGAGTTGGTCTCGGGCGTCTATGAAGACGGCACGCCCGTGTATGCGCGTCAGAACAGAGCACGGACGACGCGCTTTGTCTCCCCTCCGCATGATGCTACTGATGTTTCTTTGACTCGCGAACACATGCCGCTGGATGCTGTCCCCATTCCGGAAGATGAGAAGGCACTCTTCGTTTCATTGAGACTCTTGCAGGACAAGGTTGCAGAACTGGAGAGATCCAAGTCTGACGCCGAACGGAGGATGGATGACATGAAGCGGGAGAATGAAACGCTGAGGGCAAACAAGCGCTCAAAAGACAAGCATGGCCGCAGCCGACCCTACGATTCCGAGGAGGATGACTACCGACGGGATCAACTTGCCAACGACAACCAAAGTAAGTAGTTTTATATTGGTCTTTGCGACACTGAGCTGACTGTGTCCAGAATTGGATGCCGCCAACCTGGCTTTGCAGAATAAGCTCGACATAATCGAACGAAAGGCCCAGATTCAGGAATCGA